ACCCTCCGCTCTTGTCTGGCTAGTAAGCTTTTTTTAAAACTTGTGTTGCTGGCCTTCTTTTGCCGCTTTTTTATTCCCCCACCTCCGGAATGTAAGAAAATTATGTAGCTTTCAAAACAAATGACTAGATCTGAACGTCGTAGTCAGGACAGGCTTGTTTACGAGAATAGCTTCGTGTAGTTAATGTTGAATCAGGGTATATTAACCGGCTTTTACGATAGCTTAAGAAAAAAAGTCTTCACCTCTCTTCTTTGCCTTTACACGTCCCCATCATGTAACTCGAAATATTCAAAGTTGTAACGATCCAAATCAATTTCTTTTATTCTGTAACTTGACAGGTAGCTATGAAAGAGTTTCCCGCGAGGTAGGAAACCTGACGACAGTCATCCTGCTTGATCCATTGTCCCTCCATCTGCAAAAGTGGTCTTAGGTCGGTGGTATATACACGCGTAATGGACCGCCTTCGAGCAATTCCGCAGGACCAGACAACAGGGGATAGGCTGCCGTCGCCATTGTCACTCATCTGGGTCGTCATCCTCGCTGACGCCGTCCATCTGTAGTCCAACTTCATGGTCGCCTCCATCTATGCGAATTACAAGCGGAGTACAAGAATGGATACCACAAACGTCTGGAAATGCATCACGTTGGTTCTGATCGTGGTTGCCCTTTTCAAGCACTTTCTTCGGGCTTCTCCTCCAAGAAGAACTGTAAAATGGAAATGTCAGTCAGAAGCATATAAAGGGTGAGGCATATGTCACTTACGAAGTTGCCGCTCATCTTCTGCTCTTGGTCGAGCTGAGAGCCAAGCTTGTTGATACGAGGACGGAAGTTGCTTGGGTCACGACGGAAAGTGACATCCAGGTTCTTCAGGAAGGTGTTGCAGCCGGAGAGGAGAGACTCGGGCCTGTTGGCGTGAGAGTCAATACCGGGCTTGCCGTCAAAGACAATGACACGATCAGCAAGATAGGTAGCCATGATGAAATCGTGCTCGACGATGAAGGCAGTCTTCTTGGAGTGCATGATGAAACGCTTAATGACTCGAGAGGCGATGATACGCTGCTCAGAGTCAAGATAAGCAGAGGGCTCATCAATAAGGTAGATATCGGCAGGCATGCCCAGAGAAAGAACGATAGCAACACGCTGCAATTCACCACCGGACAGGTTCTTGACTTCCTGGTCAATGAAGTCATCGAGCTTGAGAGGCTTGACGACGTCGGTCTGGAACTGAGGAGACAGGAAGGCCTGCTTGATCTTCTTGAAGAAGAGCTGGCGAACAGTACCCTCGAACTTGGGGGTAATGGTCTGAGGCTTCATGCTGATCTTCATGTCAGGAACAGAGCTCCTGCCATCGGGCTTGAGGGCACCGGCAAGAAGACGGCAGAAAGTGGTCTTGCCAGTTCCGTTCTCTCCCATCATGACAACAATCTCGGAATCGGTAAACTCTCCAGCATCAATGCGGAGCCTGAAGTTGCCGAGCGTCTTTTCCATCTTGGGATAGGTGAAGGCACGGGACTTATCAATGGCGAAGTCATCGGTAGCCTCGGCGAGACGGAATTGAAGAGACTCGTCACGGAATCGCAAGTTCTCCGTGGGGATGTGACCATCCAGGAAGATGTTGATACCTTCACGCACAGAGTGAGGCATGGTAACTACACCATAAATGGCAGGCTTTCCGTACAGAACGCAGACGTAATCGGAGAGGTAGTCAAGAACAGACAGATCGTGCTCGACGACAATGACGTAGTCATCGTCACGGAGCAGCGAACGGATCATCTTGGCCGCACTCAGACGCTGCTTGACATCGAGGTATGAAGAGGGCTCGTCAAACATGTAGACATCGGCCTTCTGGACGCAAACAGTACCAATGGCGAAACGCTGAAGCTCACCACCAGACAGGAGAGTGATGTCACGGTCCATGATGTGCCCCAGCTCCAGGACGCTGGTCACTTCGGACATGTTTCCGAGCGTGTGGCGGCTCTCCAGAAGAGCCTTGACGCTCTTCTCAGGGCCGCGGACAGCCTTGGGGATTTGGTCAACATACTGGGGCTTGACAACAGCCTTGAGGTCGTCCTCCAGAAGCTTGGTGAAGTAGTCTAAGTTGATGTTAAAAAAAAATCGCTTCGATTTGGAATCCATTTCGAGTAATATTTCATTCACTTACTCTGGAGTTCAGAACCACGGAAGTACTTGATGACATCCTCCCAGTCAGGGGGGTTGTCGTGGCGGCCCAAGTTAGGCTTGAGCTTTCCGCTGAGAATCTTCAGCGCGGTACTCTTACCGATACCGTTGGTTCCGACAAGACCCAGAACCTGACCGGGTCGAGGCATGGGCAAACGGTGGAGCTTGAAGCTGTTGGGGCCATAGCGATGGGTGACCTGGCTCTCGAGGTTGGTGGGCAGGTTGATAATGGTAATGGCGTCGAAGGGACACTTCTTCGGGCAGATACCGCAGCCAATACACAGCGACTCGGAGATGAAGGCAAGGCGGGACTCAGGAGTCACTTCGATACAGAGCTTTCCACTGCGAACCACAGGGCAAGACTTCTTGCACTCCTGACGACACTTGCGAGGACGACACTATTCGGAGAGGCCAGGGGTCAGCAAATCTGGCTGATCGCGGGGTGATCGGCGGGGTATGCAGATTTTCATCGTGACTCACTTTGTCGGTGTTGACAATGGCGATACTAGACGCCGCAGGTTAGCAACAAGTCGAAGGTACTCCAAACCTTGGTATGACATGGGAGCTGGCATAGCAAGAGGCAGCGAATGTATCTCGTCGCTGGTACATACCGGGTGAGCTTGTCCGCCATGATGGAAACTTGACAGTCGGCTGTCTGTCTAGGGTAGCAATGGTTTCGACTCGATGGTGCCCCGTGAGAGCTGCAAAATCTCAGCTGCGACTGTTGAACAGGATCTGCAACGAGGTGGCGCGCGAGAAGCTGAGCTGGGGAGTGCAAAACAAAAGGAAAAATCAGATTGACGGGGAGAGTGGGCAACTTTTAGCTCTGGACAGGCAAGGTGTGTGGTCATCAATTTTTCTCGCTCTGTGAATGGCGGGGCAGGGCAACGGCTGTGGAGGCCCTTTTCTGGGGTGGATGGACGATGTTAGCTGCGGTGCTGAGGGGATGTACCTGCGCTGCGGATTTAGCGGGCAGAGGAACCTTGTGGGATCTGTGGTGCTATCTTGGCTTGTCTACCAAAATGTATCTACTGCTACGAGTACATGGGCGTCTGACAGGATCAAGAGCATACTACCTTATATATGTAGTATCAAGAGACACGAAAACAGCGAAAGTTGAGCAAAAGATTGATGAACTTGCTGTGCTGGAGGATAAGATTCTGATTACGCACCAAGTACATGGCTATACAAATACTCGTTGCCTACAATTTGAATGCGATGCCAAGAATTGGAATCTATCACGTACCTAGGTATGAACGAGGCCAAACTCCAATTTGACGACACTTTCTTTCCGTTTCCTTATTCTCGTCCTCCCTTATCTATCTCTCTGAAGACATCTCCAAATATGGCGCCCCAATTCGACGAGGCATCTTCTGCATGAGTCATTCTGGACACGAATAGAACGCTCACTCTGTTTACCACTTTGATAGCGGTCTTAAGTCCCTACACAGCCCATGGGTACCTACAAGTACCGTACCTATAGTATATTCCTGGCTTGTAACATCTACGTACACAACGCCCAAGTCGTAGAACCTTATTCCGCCTCTTTTTTGTTTCCCTATCAACGGAAACAATGGGACAATTCAGTGGCTTTAGTCTGGGGAATATAGAACTCGAGGTGTCCCTCTTCATTCTCTTCCTCCCAAAACACACATGCTCCACACCAACAGCTCACTCTTCTCTCACTTTGTGATCACCCATCACCACTTCCGTCCTGCACTGCAGTTTCAACGCAATCAAGAAAACTTTTGTTGAAATTCTATAACAATCATCCTTACATCTTTAAAACTCCGGCATCTCGTCCGAGTCTGCTTTTGTTGGTTACTATCATCATCAACATCAACATCAACCTCGCCTCGCCATTGCCAAAGCGTTGGAATATCAAACAACTCTCCAGAGAGGGTTCTCAAACGCAAGCAACATCACAAAGACTACAACAAAATCACTCCTTGACAAATCAAATCCGACACAATCATTCTCTGCAGACTTCGCATCTTCTGCCAATATCGTCACAACCACAACAGCACCACCCGCAACTGCAGAAATTCCGGGGTTCTGAGGTCCAGAGCGCCAGCCACGTGACTGCAGTAGTCTCTAGCGGCTTCAGCAGTCAGCAGAGCGCCAAACCGCCCCAACAGGGCTTGGCTTGGGTACAAACACGCCGGCCGAGCCTTCGGCCCTCCGCCCCGTTGCCTCCAATTCTTTCCTGCCTCTCTCCACCAGCGCATTTTTGTCACCTCCGGCCGTCTCTCGACACCTCAACCCTCGTGGCCCTTCCGCCCACCGGAACATCGCCAGACTCGCCCGAACGAGCCTGTGGGCTCCTGTCATTCCTTGTGGTGTCACGGGTCTTTGATTGATCACTGGTAAGTCGCTGCTGTCTCCTTGCACTTGCTGTTGCCGCCCGCAGCCCTGTGGCCTTGCGTCTTGCCCGCTGATCCAGCCACGACTTGACCCCGAACGCGTCCATGGGCTGGCTCTCCGGGGCCCGGATCAAGGCAAGATGAGGTTTGTTTCGATGGAATTGGTCGCTGCCGGTGATGCCGATGCATCCAGGGCCTCCAGATGGGCTCTCAGGCGGTGGCCAAGTCTCCAATTGCTGGTGATGGCGTCTCTCAGCCTTGCCAGCACTTACACACGTGGGATGCCTTGGATTGGCATTGCTTCACGATTCCAAAGCAGTGTTGCTTTCCAGGCTGATGGTCGCGGGTCGCCGACTTGTTCTTTCACCGCCTCTTCACTGGGGCGGACGCGTAACTTGGATTTCATGATGCTAACTGCCGTCGGTTCTGTAGGAGTTCCATCTTCGCGGATACCACATCATGTCCTCTCCCAGCGAGGGGGACCCCTCCAACGAGAATCTGTCGCCGGACGACTCCATGACTTTTTCAGCTGTCGCGGGCCAGCAGGGAAACGATAGCGACGTCTCCGAAGGCCTGAATGCTACCAATAGTCCTCCTGACCACCCATCTCCCTCCGATCCCGAAGCTTCAAACGACGAGGCTACGAACCATGCAGACGCCGACCATGCCGTGTCAGAAAGCGAAGAATCCAGTGTAGCCGACGCGTCAGACGATGGCGACTTCGATATGCAAGCTACCTCGCCATCCCAGCATGGCAATGACGAGGAAGACGACAATGAAGACGAGGACGACGTCACAGCTGGCCGAGCCAGTTCCTCAGAATCAGCTCGAGCGGCTAAGCGAAAAGCTCCCGTGGAAGATGAATATATGAAGGCCAATCCAGAGCTTTATGGTCTTCGGAGAAGTGTATGCCTTTACTCTCGAAGCCGTACCCTCTCTATTCTGTTTGATGTCGAATGCTGACCTCCCTATTCTAGACTCGACCACGAGAGCAACGTAAAATAGTATGTCACATGTCTATCTGCAATCTCTTGTCGCATTACGTACTAACTGTATCAGATCGAATCGGAATCGGAATCAGATGTTGTCCCAGCCAATCGTCGCCAGAATAAACGCCGGCGCGTTGGAAGTTCCCACGCATGTGAGTCTTGACGCTTCCCATATCCTCTGGTTCCCATCGACCTTTTAAGCTAACTGAACCGATTGTAGCCTCAAAAAGGGGAACGCCCGTATTGCAACCTTCCACCAACGATTCCGACTCAGATTCTTCTACATATGGCGGAGCTCGCGCAAAGAGCCAGCAGAAAAAGGCCAGGCAACAGCGTGAGATGCAGCCCGCCTTGGCCCTTGCCGAGAAGCGTTGGTCAAACCGCCGTGCAGCGCAGCAAGTGCAAGAAGGCGCATACGAAGAGAGCGACGTCGACGAAGATGAAGATGCGGAACTTGCTGCGTCTTACTACGTCGATGACTATGTCGATAACTCCCCCTACATCGAAAAAGTTGTCAAGCATAGAATCCGAGATGGGCTTGAGCTTTCCTACGATTCCACCCGCAGCGACTTTGAGTACTTCATCAAGTGGCAAGGAAAATCTCACTTGCATGATACCTGGGAGCTGCTTGATTCTCTACGCAGTGTCCGTGGCTTTCGCAAGGTTGAAAACTACTTTAGAAAGTTTATCGACCAGGAGCTTGACATTCGATATGGAGATGATATCCCCCCGGAGACAAGAGAGCAGTTTTTCCTCGATCGTGATCGAGATGAGGAGGCTCTTGAGGACTACACCAAGGTTGAACGTGTCGTCGCCGTCCGGGATGGCGATGAAGGTGATGAGTACTACGTCAAGTGGAAAGGACTCACCTACGAAGAATGCACCTGGGAGGCGGCATCGGATATCAGCACTCTGTTTCAAGACAAAATCGACCAGTACATAGACCGAACTTCGAGATCATGGCTGTCCGACCGAAAGGAGACGAGCCTAGACACACGATCCAAGATGACCAAGCTGGAGAAGCAGCCTGACTTCATTGTCGGCGGCGAGCTTCGAGAATTTCAGTTGAAGGGACTCAACTTTCTGTGCCTCAACTGGACTCGCGGTAACAATGTCATCCTTGCTGACGAAATGGGCCTGGGCAAGACGGTCCAGACAGTGTCGTTCCTCAGCTGGTTGCGTAATGCCAGGCGGCAGGAAGGGCCTTCCCTTGTCGTCGCTCCGCTCAGCGTCATCCCTGCTTGGTGCGACACATTTAACAATTGGTCACCAGACATCAACTACGTGGTGTATCTTGGGCCAGAGGATGCTCGAAGCATCATCCGCGATAACGAGCTAATCATCAATGGCAATCCCAAGAAGCCCAAATTCAATGTCTTGGTCACTTCTTACGAGTTCATTTTGCAGGACTGGCAATTCCTACAGTCTATCAAGTGGCAGGTCTTGGCCGTCGATGAGGCCCACCGCCTCAAGAATGCCGAATCCCAGCTCTACCAGCGCCTGGTGGGCTTTGGTATCCCTTGCAAGATTCTCATCACCGGAACTCCTATCCAGAATAACCTGGCCGAGCTGTCTGCCCTTCTCGACTTTTTGAACCCCGGAAAAGTGACCATTGACGAGGACCTGGACTCGCTCTCCGCTGCCGACGCCCAAGAGAAACTACAAGACCTTCACCGGTCCATTGCTCCGTATATCCTAAGACGCACAAAGGAAACGGTCGAGTCCGACCTGCCACCCAAGACGGAAAAGATTATCCGGGTTGAGCTTTCGGACGTGCAGCTGGACTACTATAAGAACATTCTCACGAGAAATTACGCTGCCCTGTGCGATGCTACAAACGGATACAAGAACTCTCTTCTCAACATCATGATGGAGTTGAAGAAAGTCAGCAACCACCCTTACATGTTTCCCGGAGCAGAGGAGAGGGTCTTGGCCGGCAGCGCACGTCGCGAGGATCAAATCAAGGGCTTGATTGCAAGCAGTGGCAAGATGATGTTGATCGACCAGCTGTTGTCCAAGCTGAAGAAGGACGGACACAGAGTTTTGATCTTCAGCCAAATGGTCAAGATGCTGGATATTCTCGGTGATTACCTCTCGCTCAGAGGCTACAAGTTCCAGCGACTTGATGGCACCATCGCAGCGGCCCCGCGACGCATGGCCATCAATCATTTCAACGCCGAGGACAGCGATGATTTTTGTTTCTTGCTTTCCACTCGTGCGGGTGGTCTCGGCATCAACCTGATGACCGCAGACACTGTCATCATCTTTGATTCCGATTGGAACCCCCAAGCAGATTTGCAGGCCATGGCTCGTGCTCACCGTATCGGACAGAAGCGACCGGTCAACATTTACCGACTTGTATCGAAAGAAACGGTAGAGGAAGAAGTTTTGGAACGCGCACGTAACAAGCTCCTTCTGGAATATCTCACCATTCAGGCTGGCGTCACTGATGATGGAAAAGCCAAGTTCAAAGAAGAGCTCAACAAGAAGGGCATCAAGATTGACGGCCCGTCCACTTCAGAGGACATCCAGATGGTCCTGAAAATGCGATCGTCCAAGATGTTTGAGCAGAGCGGCAACCAACAGCGACTGGAACAGCTCGACATTGATTCTATCCTGGAAAATGCTGAAATCACAAAGACCAAGGTTGACGACAAGATCAACCTGAGCAGTGGCGGTATTGACTGGGATAATTTTATGCAAATTACCGATGTCAAAGTAGATGATATCAACCTCGACTGGGACCAGATTATCCCAGCAGAAAAGCTCGCCGAGATCAAGGCGGAAGAAGAGAAGAAGCAACATGAGGATTATCTCGCAAAGGTTGCAGCTGAGAGTGCTCCGCGAAGAGCGGCTGTGAGGAGCCGCAACAAGGATGTGGAGCGCGCAGACCGCTTAAAGAAGCGTCAGAGAGAGCAGCAGCAAGAAGAGGAAGAGCAGCGCGCCTATCTGGCGGATCCCAAACGCCCCCTGAACGATAAGGAGCAGCGAAATCTGATCAAGGCCTACTTCCGATTCGGTTCCATGGAGGATCGCAGCGCCGATATCATCCTGGAGGCCAGGCTTGGAGAGAGAGACCCCGACTTTGTCAAATCCGTCTTGGATGACTTTATCAAAGCTGCCCAGCAAGCCGTGGATGACAACAGCGCCAAGCTTGCCGAGGAAGAAAAGAAGATGGGCAAGACGTTGACAAAGAAGGACAAGAAGGCTGTGCTGATCGATTTCGGCGAGCTGAAAAAGGTCAATGCTGAGACTGCCATCGAACGGCCTAAGCAGCTGCAACTTCTTCGCCAGGTGATTCGCGGCCATTCCGATTGGAAGAATTTCCGGGTGCCCGACGCCACCAAGGCGGCCAACTATAGCTGCCCCTGGGGAGCGAAAGAGGATGCCATGCTCCTTGTCGGCATTGACAAGCACGGGTTTGGCGCGTGGGCTCAGATACGCGACGATCCGGACTTGGAGATGCAAGAGAAGCTCTTCCTGGAAGAGCATCGGGTGGGTAAAAAGGAGGAGAGGTCCAAGGGCAACGACAAGCTCAAAGCCCCTGGCGCTGTTCATCTCGTACGCAGGTCAGAGTACCTCCTTTCCGTGCTGCAATCAAAGCACTCCAACGATCGGTCAGTTCAAAAGGCGGTGGAGAACCATCATCGCAACAACAAGAAGCTCCACGCGGTCAATGGCACTCGCGGTAGTAGCTCGACGACGGCTTCAACGGGTCTCAAAAGGCAACGAGAGCGAGAGAGGGACCACGGATCAGGCGAACAGCGATCCCGTGCCGGAGAGGAGGGTGCACCGGCTAGACCCGATTTCAAGCGCAAGCATCCCTCTCACGACGATGCCCGCAGCCCCAAACATCGGCGCTCTGATGACCCGCGTCGGTCTAGCAAGGCTGGTGATGAATATCGCGACGGCCGCATAGAGAAACGACGGCATCGCGAAGATGACGATCGCCGCCATGACAGATACCGCCGTGAGGAGTATCGCCGCGACGATTATCGCCGTGATGACCGTCGAGACGACCGCCGAGATGATTACCGCAGGGATGATCGTCGAGACGACCGTCGTGACCGGGACCGGGACCGAGAACGAGATAGAGATCGAGATCGAGACCGTGATCGTGATCGCGATCATCACCGTGACCGGGATCGTGACCATAACCGTGATCGAGACCGAGACCATCACCGAGATCACCGGGATCACCGAGACCGTGATCATGCAACCCGACATCTGGATGAACGCAGAGTCAAGGCACTCCGACGGTTAGATGAGCTACGGCGCATTGGCGATGACAAAGACCAAAGGGCCAAGGACAACGATGCCATGATTTGGTTCCTCTTGAAGCCGGTGAGAGATAATTTTGAGAAAATTCTCTCAACCACCAAAGACAGCGTCAAGTCTAGTAAGGAGCGCGCAGCCATCTTTGGAGCCGAGCTGGTGGCCATTGGGTCGTTTCTCGACGAGAAGCTGCCAGCAACGATAGCAGACGACGGTCTCAAGAACAACTTTTGGTAAGCGGTTGCAAACTTTCAACTCGTTGTTTTTCTACTGCTAACTTGACTTATAGGGAATTTCTGGCGGCTCTCTGGCCCGTCGACGACACCAGCAAGAGCGTTACGGGTGACCGACTGAGCTCAATGTATCGTACACTCCACGCTCGCAACAAGACGAAAAGTTCTGAGCCTAGCGCTGCAAAGCTCAACGGCACACACGCTGTTCGGTGATTGAAAAGCGACCACTGAAACAAGCTAAAGGGGGGGGGGGGATTGATGTTTAGATTTGTTCTGTGACGAGTTTATAAAAGAAGAGCTTGACATTTATTTGCATTGTCTGGCGTTTGGTATTAGGTGGCATTATGGTTCAGTCACAAAAAGACTCGGCTGCAACAACATACCCGGATTTGCATGGGAAAAGAACCAAGACGACACGCGTTGAGGAGTTTGTTTATACCGGCCGGCCGGCTTGACGAAGACTTTGGCGTCCAATTTCTGGCCTGCCTGCCGAGTTGATTTTGAGAAGGTTGTATTGTTTGGCTTGACTGATGAAAGGAGGGGAGAGGAGGGATACTCATTTTTGCTACCTTGTTTTTTTATTTCTCTTTCTATTTTTCGCATTTTATTCTTCTGCCAAGTGTTTTATTTTACTGTTGACGACAAGAGCTTACTCATGCCGTCGGATGAGGGTACATGTTATACCAAACATTTTGCGGACATTGGAAGGGATGTGGGAGGCGACGGATTTTTCTTTACGAATGTAATATGAGCGGTTGTACGGCTTTTCCCTCTCCTCACTTGTTTTCCCGCTTACCATGGGGATTCTTTTTTTTTAACCCTCCCGCCTTGTTCTACGGATAGTAATTAGAGGAGCGAGTTGGCAGATGAGGACACAAGTTTGATAGTCACCAAGCCTAGGCATAAGAAAAAGCCCGAGGTAGAGGAGGAGCAGATAGATGAATAAAATACGTCAAGTATCTGTGCTTGCTACTATGGTGATGATTTGCTGTTTTTTTTTAAGTTTATGAGGTTAATATGTGCAAATACCTAGCTATAAATGACAAGCAGGGAGAAGTGATGCATCTCGGCGTGGCACCATGTGAGTGGCCACAGTTATATCAGTATATGCAGCACATGAAACTCCTTGCATGTACTCCGTAGTAAATGAGGCGATATTAATCTTGAATCTTCCGATGTTTTTTTTTATTTTATTTCTTTCTTTCTTATTGTTCTACTTTATATCGGTCGTATCCACGTTAAGACTTCTTAGTACATACATAACCTCTCGCAGATTACCTTACCATCTACTTATATCCCATATACCCGCCCACCTACCCATCTAGTAGTACATACTCGAGTACCTTACATATATACCTACCTATCCATCTTTCACCAACCCACAATGCCTCTTCCTCTCCCCTTCACCAAACACTTTGCCGAGCTCACCGTCCTCCGCGCCGCCCTGCTCACCAGAAGAGTCATCTCGGCCGTCACGGAAATCTCCAAGCACGATGCGACCCCCGTGACCATGGCCGACTTTGGCGCCCAGGCGCTCATCATGGCGGCTCTCCGCGGGCTGTTTCCCTGGGACGGCTACGTGGGCGAGGAAGACGCAGAGACGCTGCGCAAGGACGAGGCGCTGGCGACGACGGTGTTTGAGCTCGTGCGTGAGATTAGCTACGACTTTGCCAAGCACGAGGCGGTCAATGCCGACGAGGATCTGGCCGTGACCAGCTTGCCGGGCGTCGTGTCGCAGGCCGAGATGCTGGATCTGCTGGACCGGGCTGGGCGGGGGACGCCGGGGCCCAAGGGGAGGTTTTGGGTCATGGATCCTGTGGACGGCACGGCCACGTTCCTCAAGGGCCAGCAGTACGCTATTTCGCTGGCGCTGGTGGATGATGGCAAGGAGGTGCTGAGCGTCGTGTGCTATCCGAACCTCGGCCTCGACGACGGCGTGGTGGCCGAGACGGGCGTGGACACCACCGGCTGCGGCGTCATGCTGTCGACCATCCGTGGTGAGGGCACCGAGTATCGCAAGCTGTCGACGGAGTACTATCTCGGGCCAGCCAGAAAGCTGGACCGCTTCCCTGCGCCGACGAGTCTCGCCGACCTGCGCCTCGTGGACTGTCTGGCCAGCAAGTCGTCTCGCCTGGACATTGCCGAGGGCCTAGCGAAACAGCTCGGCGCGCTGCCCTTCCCCGGCATCGATCTGTGGTCTTCGCACGTGCGGTACGGAGCGCTGATGCTCGGCGAGGGAGAGCAGGGAAGGCACATCATGATTCGCGTGCCCGTCGGCGCCCGCGGCGACCCTTCTCGTGCGTACATCTGGGACCACGCCGGCTCGCAGCTGCTGTACACGGAGATGGGCGGCAAAGTGACGGATCTGGAGGGCAAGGAGATTGATTTCGGGGCGGGCAGGACGCTGGCGGCGAATTGGGGGCTTGTGGCCGCCCCGGAGAGTGTTCACGGTGAGATTTTGAGCTTGGTCAGGGAGTTGATTGCCAAGGATTCAAACCAATAGAGCCGGTGATCCTGATGCAAGAAGACTGCTGCTGTTCCAGAAAGAAAGAAACGAGAAGGATAACAGACCGTTGGGTCACTGGTTCGTCGTCATTGCAAATGCTGACTATTCCCCTCATGCTTCATTAAAACAACTATTATATATCTATCCATCGCCGTTATCCTCGAATGTTAGCTTGAGATGCCACTCTCACCACCTTCATGCCATATGTCTATTTTATATACACAACCCCGTCTTGTTCTCTTTACATCAAGCTACTCCTACCCCCAATCTCCATGCTTCCCTGCCCGTCCTTCATCTGCCCGCTCCGGCCCACTACAAACTCGTGATAGATCTTTTGAAGCCTCGCCTTCTCATCCTTGCCGATAGACGCTCTCGTGCTCTCCAGAGCCTTTGTGAGGTGAGACCAACCGACCACCACCTCTCGCTGGTCGGCCGACTCCTTGCCCTCGGCCTCATCGACGCCAGGACCTCTGCGGGCCTCCTTGGCCTTGCGTCGCGCCACTTTGATCTGCTCCAGCTTGGACATGATGGCGGCGTTTTCAACCAGCGCGGCAGATCTGCTCTTGGCTGCCACCGGAGCTGCCGTCTCGTCGTCGGCGCCGTAGCGGAACTGCACAAAACCGGTAGCCGACGATGCGCCCTTGCTATCTTTGCCACGCCGGGTTGTAGATGCCGGGCTGTTGATGTCTCCCAATACATCGTGGATAGCCTCGAGCTGGGCGTTTGACACCAGGGCCTGCAGGTCGGCACCCGAATATCCCTCCGTCTTTTGGGCAATCGATCTCAGTGCCTCCTCCGACTCGGTCAGCTCGCTCGATAGCCGGACCTTTTGCAGCATCGCCTTGATAATGTCCACTCGGTCGTCGAGCGATGGCATATCGCACAGCAGCGACTTGTCGAGACGACCGGGTCGCAGCAGCGCCGGATCGATCAGGTCGGGTCGCGACGTAGCCGCCAGGACGTACACGCCAGAGAGACCTTCAGCACCGTCCATCTGCGTCAGCAGCTGGTTGACCACGCGATCCGTCACACCAGTAGAATCATGGCCACGCTTCGGCGCAATGGAGTCGAATTCATCAAAGAACAAGACACAAGGCTTGGCGGCTGACGCTCGGTCAAAGAGATCTCGCACGCTCTTTTCTGACGCACCGATGTACTTGTTGAGAATCTCGGGACCCTTGACACTGATGAAGTTGAGACCGCATTCTCCCGCGACAGCACTGGCCAGGAGCGTCTTGCCGCAGCCGGGGAACCCGTACAGGAGAAGACCGGATCGGAGCCGAAGAGGACACTGGGAGAAGATGGGAGCATACTTTGTCGGGTACTGCAGCGTCTCGAGGAGGACTTGGCGCGTCTCCTGCAGGCCGCCGATGGACTTGAATGTGGTCGTCGAGCTCTGCAGGGATACGTTGCGCAAGGACGCCGGCGTGAACCCCTTAATGGCCTTGTCAAAATCCGCACGGCTAAGATGAACTGCTCCGATAGTGTCTTCGGGAGTCAAGCTGATGGATCGAATGATTGCCTCGTTTCTGGCTCTGGCGATGAAAACCGTCAAATCACCGGGCAAGTATCCGTCAGTCAAACCGGCAATGTCGAGAAAGTCCAGGTCTGAATCCAGTATGAAGCCGCCGGGTTTGCCCGACGAGCCGTCCTCGTGGCCATTGGCAGCCGAACCATGCCCGTGAAGCCAGTCGCTTGCCTCTTCGGAATTCTCCGTGCCGTTGGCAGTCGTCGGCCGGCTACCGTCGCTCACCTGTCCCGAAGCCTCATCCTGGGCCACTGCGTTCTGCCTAACAATGGCCTCCATGATTTTCCGCCGTCCATCCTTGTCAGGGGCCTTTAGCTCGATGATCTCGCGGACGACGTGGCCGCTGACGACGACGCTGTTGAGGGTGTCCTTGCCCTCTGCCGTTGCCAGCAACGCGACGCCGCTGTCTTTGGTGCAGTACTGCCGCACGACAGATCGAATCGTTTCGCTGACTTGACGGCTTCGTCCGTTGTCGTTTCCGACCTGGAGCTCCGTTTCCACAGGACTCAGCTTGTCCAGGTCGTCAAGAACAACAATCGCTTTGCCGCCCAGCCTTGCGCCCCAGCTGGCCAGCATGAATATGCGGTTGAGAGTTTCTTTGATGGTGGATATCCTCGCCTCGTCGGTCACCAGCTTACGACAGGAAAAGTAGATGGTGTAGAATAGTGTCTCCTCACGAAGTCGGCTGGCGAGATACCTAGCAACAGATGTCTTGCCGGAGCCCTTTGTTCCAGTGAGCAGAACAGAAGACATGTGAGCAAGGTGTGACTGGAGATTTGCGAGCAGCGAGTCGATGCCAACGAGCAATGAGTCGTGAGACGGCTGCAATTCAAATAGGTCCGTCTCGGAAATCCAGGGGGGTCGTGGTACCGGTTGTTGAAAGTCGATGGGTATTTTCGGATCCAAGCCGGCCAGCCAGAGAGCAGCGTCTTTGTTCTGCTCTTGCGATGCAACATCCGAGCTATACTCAAACTTGATGATGCCCCCTTCCCATCCCTGCGGAGCTTCCAGGCCGTCGTACAGATCAACAACGATGCCATCGGTTATGGGCCCTTGCAAAAGTCCCTCGGATCCCTTGGACCCAGAGTAGATGTGCTTAAATCTCTTGGTGGATTCTTCCTTCTCCGCCTTGGTCTCAATTCCAAATCTCAGGCCCTCGGGTGCCTTTGAGCCTGCCGCAAAGGGGAAGACCTTGATTTGCTGGACAGCTCCGCGAGGGAGAGGCTGAGGGGCGGCTTGGATCTTGACAATACCACCAACGATGCCTGTGCACCCGAGGGCAGCGCACAATGCCGCTGACAATGCCGCCGCCTGGCCGTTGGGCGGATCGTCCCATGGCTTCAGCTTGGCAACAATCTTGGATGATGCATTGCTCGCAACTGCTGCAGATCCGTCTTCGGGCTGTGGTTTCTGGAGTCCCGCAGGCTTGAGAACATCCACCACAACGTAGTTGACGCCCCTAAAGTCGTTGGACAGGATATAGTCACGATCCACCCAGACACAGAGCCCGGGCTCTGCGATGCCCTCATCGAACCATTCGTTGCATGCAGCCCTATCGATTGCGCGGAGCAGCAAAGATGGTCTCTTTTCCTCTCTGGCGCTTCGTCTTCGAATGGTGCTGGCCCCGCTTCGTTTGGACTTTGATGTGCTCGCGACGCTTCGGTGGTCACCACTGTTCTGCGAGGCCTTGGCTCTCGTTTTCGGCGCGACGATGACTTCGGCATTGGGGGAGAGCTTTACAAAAGCCACGTCGGCTGCTGGCGCGGGTTCGAGAGACATGATCTTTATGACCGCTGTCGACGTCGGTGATAGATGCAGAGTCAATGGATGCGCAGGGACTGCAGCACCGCCGGTAGGGACATACGCCGGGTTGGGAAGCGCTCGTATCTGGGATTGCAAGTTGAGTTCGAGGAATGTTGCGTGCAGTTCTATGATTTCCCAGTCTTCAGGCGTCAGAGGCTCGATGTTGATGGTGTGTGCCAGCGGAGGGTCGACGTGGACGGTGGCCATGACCTTTTCGCCATCTGTCAGGCCGAGAGTGTTTGCGAACGTCGCGTCGATTTCGACTAGTTGTATCTCTTGATCTCGCGTTGAGCCGCGCGAGCTGGTCAGTCCGTCACGTCCTACTAACTGAGCAGCTCTCCTCTTGCTCGGCATTCCCGTCCAACCAACGAAGACGGATTGCTCCTTGGGGGCTCCGGTCTGGCCACTGGACGGAGCCGGTCGGTATGTGAGTTCGACAACGACATTCTGGGCGGGCTATGAAGAAATAGGAGCATTAGTTAGTCCCAAAAATGTCCTCAAGATCAGCAGCATTGAGCAGATGGAAAGGAGTAGCGCTCTCGGTGACGCACAGTGTTTACGTTGACCAGCAGGGTAACCAACGATGTAGGCAGGTTGACAAGACAGTTCTTCAGATGCACGAGCGACAGCTCAGCAGCGGTCGACTGCGCATTCCTTCTGGGCGCCATGTCTGGGAAATTGAATGCAAGTCTGTCTTGTCAGGACAGAGCAGAACAGAACAGAACAGAACAGAATCCAGGCGCAAGTTCGGCTGCAGGATGGCGATGCTATTCCGCGTTCCTGGAACTTATGGAGCCGGCCGGTTGCTATGCCGAGGCAAGGCTCACGTGCCGAGCGGCCGGCGCTACCAAGGGGGTACCTCCCGAGGATGCTGAATCGCTTCTGGGGCTGGGGTACATGCATGTACTATCGTGGCTTGACCTCAGTGCTTAGAACAGAGCTGAAAGCTGCTGCACTTTGGCTCTGGAACAGTGACTGGACTGGACTGAGCTCCGCATACCTTAGCCACGTGTGGCTTGTGTGCAGCTCCGACCCGAGTACGTACCCGTACCTCTTAATTGACCTTTGACGCCGTTAGACGCGTCGCGCGTCTGTCTCGTGTCAACCGCCAGCTTTTTCCAGAGCTCTCGAGGACTAGCAGCATTTCCCGACTCCTTACTAACCCACACACGCATCCCTGCAAGTTTGGTTTCCCAGCCCACCAATTTGTGCATCGCATCGCATTTGTTGTCTCTTGCTGCGATTCCCGTCCCTCGCCGTCTCTTTTCTCTTCCCCCCATCGCATCGCAACAGCCTGAATCGAACCCCCCCGTTTTGGCGTTCGGGCATCATCACGCAAAATGGCGCTCCGCGAGTTCAAGGCGCCCGTCAACTACGAAACTCAGCAGTGTAAGGCTTCCTTGACATCTGCTTCACCTGGTGGAGAGCAGCAAACGCTAAGCTAAATCTTTGTGCAGCGGCGTTCGAATCTTTTCTCAAGGACTTCAAGACGTCGCCCGAGCATACCCTCACCACCGCCCTCGGCAACATCACAATTGGCGAAGATGATCTCAGCGACGAGGATGATCTCATGGACGAGGACGACCAGACTCGCCAGCGTCGCCAGGAGGAGCGGGCCAAGAGGAAAACACCCCAGCACAAGTACAACGACATGCTGCAATTGCTCGCGGACCGCAAGATTGACGAATTCGCCATCGATCTGGATGATCTAGCTACTGTGAGTTGGAGCGTGAAGGTGGACGCTTTGCGAAACACCCAGGTGCTGACTGCAGTTAGTGGGAGGGGCAAACGGACGAGTCGATGAAGCTCGTGGACTCAATTGAGATGAACACGAAGCACTACGTCGAGATCATGGCCAGGGCTGTAGACAATGTCTTGCCCCAGCCTAGCGAAGAAGTCAAGTACGACACCCTCTTTTTGGCGAGAGAACGAGCTGTAGAGAGGGAAAAGAAGGAGGAGTAACTGGCTAACTGGACTAATAGCTTCAAAGATGACGTCCTAGACGTGTTGATGGCCAGGCGACAGGCTAGAAATCGAGAGCTCGACGACCTGGCAGAGAGAGATCCCACTACCGCCGAAGACAAGTTCCCAGCCGAGCTAACCCGTCGGTACACCCTCGTCTTCAAGCCCCGAACAGGGACAGAAGAAGGTGCCTCAAAGGCGCTGGCCGTGCGACATGTTCGAGGCGAGCACCTTGGCCACCTCATCACCATCCGAGCCATTGCCACGCGTGTTTCCGACGTCAAGCCGATTGTTCAAGTTAGCGCCTATACGTGCGATCGCTGCGGTTGTGAAATCTTCCAGCCTATTTCTGATAAGCAGTATGGACCTCTGACCATGTGCCCCTCGTCCGATTGCAAAAAGAACCAGGCAAAGGGTCAGCTGCACCCTTCATCCAGAGCGTCCAAGTTCTTGCCCTTCCAGGAGGTCAAGGTTCAGGAGCTGGCTGAGCAGGTTCCCATCGGCCAGATTCCCCGCTCTCTCACCGTTCACTGCTTTGGCAGTCTTGTCCGAAAAGTCAACCCTGGTGATGTGGTTGACATCTCTGGCATCTTCTTGCCCACGCCTTATACCGGCTTCAAGGCGATGAGGGCCGGTCTCTTGACTGACACATATCTCGAGGCCCATCACATTCACCAGCACAAAAAGGCCTACAGCGAGATGATTGTCGATGCACAGCTTGTCCGAAGAATCGACCGGTACAGACAGTCCGGCCAAGTCTACGAGCTGCTCGCCAAATCCATTGCTCCAGAAATCTTTGGCCACCTGGATGTCAAGAAGGCTCTTCTTCTTTTGCTCATTGGTGGTGTCAACAAGGAAATGGGTGACGGCATGAAGATCCGTGGTGACATCAACATTTGCTTGATGGGTGATCCTGGTGTTGCCAAATCGCAGATGCTCAAGTACATCTCAAAGGTTGCCCCCCGTGGTGTCTATACTTCGGGTCGTGGAAGCAGTGGTGTCGGTCTTACCGCCGCCGTCATGCGAGACCCGGTCACAGACGAGATGGTTCTGGAGGGTGGTGCGCTTGTGCTGGCCGATAACGGCATCTGCTGTATCGATGAATTCGACAAGATGGACGAGAATGATCGAACTGCGATCCACGAAGTGATGGAACAGCAAACCATCTCCATCTCAAAGGCCGGCATCTCTACCAGTCTTAATGCCCGTACATCCATCCTTGCAGCTGCTAACCCGGTCTACGGCCGATACAACCCCCGCATCTCCCCCGTTGAAAACATCAACCTCCCCGCTGCTCTCCTGTCCCGTTTCGACATCCTTTTCCTGCTCCTCGATACCCCCACACGAGACACAGATGAACAGCTTGCCAAGCACGTCACGTACGTGCACATGAACAGCCGACACCCCGACCTTGGCACCGACAATGTCGTCTTCTCCCCGCATGAAGTGCGATCCTATGTCGCCCAGGCCCGAACCTATCGACCAGTCGTGCCCGAATCGGTCTCCGAGTACATGATCAAGACGTACGTCCGTCTGCGAGACCAGCAGCAGCGAGCAGAGAAGAAGGGCAAGCAGTTCACACATACCACGCCACGTACCCTGCTTGGTGTGGTCCGTCTGGCGCAGGCCCTGGCTCGTCTCCGTTTCAGCAACCAAGTCACCCAAGACGATGTTGACGAGGCACTGCGACTGGTCGAAGCTAGTAAAGAGAGTCTGAACACTGACGCTGGTGGTCCTCGACGCGGCCTCAACGCCAGCAGCAGAATTTACAACCTCGTCAAGGCCTTGGCCGATTCGGGTGCTTGCCGTCCGGATGATGCAGACGACGACGACGAACTGGGCGTGGAGCTCAGCATGAGGAAGGTCAAGGAGCGTGTGATTGCCAAGGGGTTCACAGAGGACCAGTGGCTGAATGCCCTAGAAGAGTACACAACTTTGGACGTAAGTGCTTTAATCAATGCCGTATTTCCTTCTCTTTTATATCATCATATGCTAACATTCTTTTTTTCAGGTTTGGCAAACTGCTGGCGGCGGCTCAAGACTAGTCTTTGTCACTGCAGACGATGACAGAGAAGACAGCATGGAAGAGTAGGGGCAGAGCACAAAGTAATCGAATGGGGATGGATGGCTTGTTCTGTGGGGGAAAAGCGAGGGAATTGTTGGACTCTTGTAACCGGATTGGCGTTTTTTTTTTATTGTTTTGGACACCCTGATAATTTGGAAGGGTGTAAGAGGAAGAAAGAAAGAAAGAAAGAAAGAAAGAAAGAAAGAAAGAAAGAAAGAAAGAAAGAAAGAAAGAAAGGGGAAGAACATTTGGTAGACTTGCGACTAGATCTTGTCAGAAACTAAATGAGATGAAGAATCATGTAGTACTACTGTGTTTAATGAGCTGCGTATCAATGACAAAGCAGCATGAATAAGTCTTTCGTCTGTAGGATCATCTACGTTGATCAGCATTTGGTGAGATTCTAAGGGCGGCATAATATATAATACATATTCATACAACGCATGTTTTCCCTCCCTTTCTTATCTCGTTCATTCACCAGCCCTCTCTTCCATGCTCAACTCTTTACTAATACCCCCCTTTTTACATCCTCATCGTCATAAGTGAAGCCCTCTCCATCTCGCCCACAATGCCGTGTCCTCCCAAAGCCCACTTCTCCGCCACGGCCCCCGAACTAAGCACGCTGCGCAACATTCCGCTGGCGCCCCAGTACTCCATCAGCACTCTCGCCTCGTCCTTGGAAACGCCCTCGAGGCGAACGACCTGGCTGTTCTTGAGAGCGTCGTAGACCCGGTCGTCGTACTTCTTCTCGTAGGCGTTGGGCTTGGGCACCTCGCGGCCCGCCTGGCCGGCTTCCAGCTGCGACAGGACGAGCTCCTGCGACGGGTGGTAGTGGGTGTTGTTCTCGGAGGTGGCGGCGATGACGGCGCCGCCGTTGGGGAGATTCGTCTTGCCGGACAGGGCGTCGACAAAGGTGCGCACGAGGAGCAGCTCGTGGGCGTGCACGGTGTTGAAGGAAGGGTCGCGGTAGGCGCTGACCTTGTTGATGTGGGCGAGGCCGTCGAGGGCGAACAGCACGGGGGGCCGGCCCGGCTGGGTCAGCTCCGTCCACAGGGCCGACAGCGTGGGCCAGGCGAACTCGCTCTCCTTTGCGCTGAGGGCCAGGTCGGCGAGCGTGGCGTCCTTTTGGAGATTTGTTAGGCGGGACCAGTCCAGCTTGACGGGCGTCTTCTCGAGGACGGCCTTGTTGGCCTTGTAGATGTTTTGGAGCAGCTTCAGGCAGTACACGGGCTGGGTGAACTGCATGGGCTCTGTGTCGGGAACGGGAGAAAACTCCGTGTTTCCGTTTGTAAGATCTTGACCTACAATTTGCATCAAGTTTTGTTAGCGACATGTTCTTGACTCCGTCAGTTTTGTTTCGAGATATACATTACATACCTTCGGGGATGTGAATCACCACCCACTCGTTCAACAGCGCATAAGACATGGCCTGAAGCAGCGTCAAGCTCTTCCCCGAAAGCGCACTGCCCGTCAGCACACACTTGAAGGCCTCCTTCTTTTCCACCGACGCCTCCAGCTTGCTCATCAGCTCGACCGTCTCTTTTCGCACCAGCACGTGAGGTTTCCGGAACAGATTCCACGTCTGTGTCGTCTTGAACGCCTCCAACGCCCTCAATTGGTCCACCACCTGGTCCGGCACGGCAAACATCTTGCCGCCGCTCTCCGCCTTGGCCATGGTCTGCGCCTCGAGGCTCTCAATCCCCGTCACGGGCAGGGCGCTGTTGTTGCTGAGCTGGATTCGCTTGCGGAAGGCCTTGCGCTCGCCCGGCCCGGGCTTCTTGGCCGGCACAATGTTCTGCTTCTTCTTGTACGTCTTCTTCGTCTTCTTCGGGAGGTCCTTGCGGCTCTTTACTGCCGGGGGACCGGCGGCGAGGAAGCTGGTGGTGGAAAACGCTGCCATGATGGGCTGGATCCGAGGCGCCACTGGGATCGCGGGCCTGACGAGGGTCCGCAGCGATAGGGAAGCCATGACGATGAGACTTTTTTTTGGCGGATATCAAGCGAAAGAATGGAAATTGAAGCACCGCTTATGTATATATACTCGTACAATCGTTGGGCTGTCGCCGCATTGAGGCCGGATGGGGCGGGCGGCGTTGCTTTTTCCTGTGATATTCCCCCACGGTATATTTTTTTGGAGGTTCGTTTTCTAAACTTGAGCCCAAAAATCTCAAAGTCGCATGTACCTGTGGAGGGGAGACCACCAACGTACCACTCGCTGCCAAAGCTGCGCTAAGAGATACAAGCCCGACAAGGTACCCTGTGGTTTCTGGAGATGTAGCGGCACTCTGCAGGTTTATTTGGCAGGCCCCGGAAAATTTGTTGCCCGTTGATCCGATGCATGCAAGCTTTATCGAACAATCGACGGGTTTCTTATCAGGACAAAAAAAAAAAAAAAAAGAGAGAGTCGCAGAAGGTTGGTTCGAGTGAGATTCAACAACCAGCCATTGTCTTGTATTGCGACGCCATCACCACCAAATAAGCGACGAATCTCACTTCTTGTCGCCTCAATCTCACTCACTCTTGGACCAAGAACCTCTGCAAAAAGACAAACCACGTACCACACAGTAAATACACACACAATGGCACTCCCCATATCCAAGCCGAAGCTGCCCGTCGTCGTCGAAAAGCCCACGCCCTACACCTTCGACCTGGGCCACCTCCTCGCCGAAGACCCCAACCCCGTCTCCCTCGACCACTCTTCCCTCGACCAGTCCCTCGCCGCCCTCGCCCGCGACGGCGCCCAGTCGCTCATCAACCAGCTGCTCACCACCTGTCCCCTCAAGTCCACCAGCGACGGCGTGCTCCTGACCCTGCCCCAGCCCGCCACCCGCCTCCCCCGCGAGAAGCCCGTGCCCCAGCCGAAGCCCCCGACCAAGTGGGAGCGCTTCGCCGCCAAGAAGGGCATCAAGGCCAAGACCAGGGAGTCTCGCAAGAACCTGGCCTACGACGAGGAGTCGGGCGAGTGGAAGCGCAAGTGGGGGTACAAGGGCCTGAACAAGAAGGGCGAGGACGACTGGCTCGTCGAGGTCGACGCCAAGAAGGAGGCTCAGCGCAAGGAGGGCACCAGCGTCCGCGGCGACGGCAGGCGGGAGCGCAAGGAGCGCATTCAGCGCGACGAGAGGAAGATGAGGAAGAACCAGCGCGACGCCGCGGGCAAGACGGGCAAGAGAGTCTGATTGGAGACAAGTCTGTCATATCTATACTTGTTTCTCTCGTTCAATGGGTCTTTTTCCATGTACCATGGCATCAAGCATGGCTACGGCGTTCTAGGCGTGGGGGGGCTTTCAGGAGAGGGGGCTTGCTTCAAAGAAAATCAAGATAATGTCGGCTCGGTCGATATATATCTATATGTCTTTTCGGTGGGGAGGAAAGGATGAACACTCAATTTTTCACTTTTTTTTGGTATAGATGTTAGATGTTCCTGAGAAACTAGCATGGTCACAACAATTTTTTCTTCTTCTCTTCTTCATCTCTCTGTGTCTCTCTCTCCTTTCCATATTTCACCGTTCCTCAAAAGGTTTATATGCTGCCAAAAAAGAAATTTTTATATTCCCACCCCTCACTCAAATAATCCTCCCTACTGCCTCGGGCCATCGCCCTTCTGTATTCGTACACATGACGCCTTCTATGGCCAGATTTCCACCCGAAATCAAGTTTCGCGGGGAAACGGAGCGAAAAGATAAGAAATGAAATAGAGGCAAATGGACAGCCTCCACACGTTAACCCTGGCCACTCCATACTGCTGAGCTTCTAACAAAGGAGACAGGGCCGAGCATCGTCTCGGCCAATTTCGATGTTCCACGGTTTTTTTGGTCCTTGAATAGCTGAAAAGAAAATCTCAATTGCGTCCATGTTGCGACAATCTGCAATTAGGAATAGAGGAAATAACAAGTCTGGGAAACGGTCGTCGCGACATTGATGTAGGAGTAAAGAAAAATGAAAGGAAATCGGACCGAAAATGCAATCGAGGCAGATAGCATATACAGAAACAAAGAAGAGACTTGGTTCGGGGAGCCAGTCAGTCTCTCTCAAAGTGCCTCTATGGCATTTTCTGCTTCATATTCTGCTTCTTCACTCTCCTTTTCAAGCAAAGGGGGAAGGAAGATGGGAAGGGGGGGAATTCGGTCCATGTCAGACCAGAAATTCTAGTGGGTAAGAGATGCGCTAAATTCCGAAACGACGAAACAAAAACAAGTCATAAACGGCGTGATGTCATAAGTCGGCGCCGATGATAACTGCTGGGTATCTTTGCCGAAAAGAGGTAAATGTTTGTTTGAAACTCAACTCTGTACATCTTGGACTCGACTCGTTGCTCAGAAGCCGAGAGGTGACAGAGGCTGGATAGGAGACAAGGGGCGTAGTTCACGAGTTACAGTACCCTGAGAGGCATGCGTGAAGCCAAACATGTCGTTGGTATTCTCGTCTTCCTCGCTATCAGCGCTCAAGGCCGTTGAAATGGACGACCTATGAGATGAAACGCTGTTGCTGGATCTCGATAACTGGATTCGCGGCTCGTCCGTATCATTTTCTGGTTGACTGGGCTCCTGGATGATGGGCACGTTGGCGTGTAACAAGACGGGATTGACATCCTCTGTGGCCTCGTTCTGGAGGGGGGCCTGCATATCGGCAAGGCCTCGCGGTGGCGGCTGATCGAATAGTCGGTACTCCTCCTCAATGAACTTGGGTTCGTTTTTGCAGCCTCTCCAACAATCTCTCCAATCACAGACAAGAAATTTGAAACAAAAGGCATCAATCTTCATGCAGGGCTGGAAGCAGATGCAGAGGTTTCGGAAATCCATCTTGTTCTTGTCGGAGTGAGCGAGGAGCAAGCTAAGGTGGCATGTGATGGCGAAGAGGAGGTAGTAGTTGAACGGAGACAGGTTCGAGAGTTCCTCGATGAGAAGTTGCGGGACCTTCTCGGCGCCTTGACATTCACGAGCAATCCGTTCTTGGGCCTCTTTGGGAAAGAGTTCGTCGGGCAGTTCTCGAAGCCAAGCCTTGAGCATTGAACCAACAATGTTGATATCATAGAGGTCGTTTTGCTCAAACAGATTGACATCATATTCTATACATACACCCATGTTAGCCACCGGGAGACCCTTGACGAATGGGACAGGGTTAAAAACGTACGCTCGTCAAACTTTCTTTGCCACTTCTTCACTTGAGGCCCGCTTCCAGGCACCCGGTAAAGACCTTCGACCTCGGTTCCCTTATAATTCAAGTAATCGATGGCCCTCCATGGGAATGCAGGCATCCAGAATTCTGTCTTGTCCCTTGAGTCTTCCAGTCGTTTCGAAATTCGAGTCAATCGTGCTTGCTCGACCAGCGGTAGATTGATGACTTTGAGTACGTAATGCTCGTCATCCACCACCGGCTCTTTTTCCGTCGTGCTGCCACTTCGCGTGCTCTTCCCAAATAGCCCCTTGCTAATCAGGTCGGCAGCTCTAGTAGATGTAAATCTCAGCCCGCTGAGAAATGTTGATGCGCCAGTCTCTCGTATTGACGATGAATGTCCCTTGTGCTCCTTGTGTTCCTTCTCTCGCGCAGCATCTTTAGCCGCAGCGGCAGCACCGCCCGCTCGGTCCTCTGGTCGATTGCGAAGATTCGAATTCATTCCTTCGTCTCTCAGTGCCCGATCGTGGGGCACAGTCGGCGTCTGAGCGGTCGCAGGTGCAGCCGTAATTGGAGTACTGGTGGAGGCAGTGGTCGTGTTGGTGGTATTCTCGGGGATCGAGGGGTTGTTTGGTGTTGGTAGTGGCACTTGCGCGACAGCAAGCTTGAGGCGGTTGCTCTCCTTGTCGCGAACAGATTTGGTGCGGCCGAGGAGCGCAAACGACTTTGTCTTGTTCTTTTTGATAGATGGTAGGGGTGGCGTCGCCTCAGCTTCCCCAGAAGACGAAACCGAAAGGTCGGAGCGTGATGGTTGAGAAGGAATGGACCTCTGCTGGCCGTCCTCGGTGGTGATTGGGTCTAAGAAAGCCAAATGGCACAAGGTTAGCCGCAAAGTTTCTAGCATAGCTTTTCCCCCCAAGTTTGTTTATAATTTGGCTCTTGGCCGGCGAAAGGATAACGTGCGCCCCAAAAAAACAATGTGGCGTGCTAGCGCGCACCATAAATGTTGGCAGTGCACTTCCATCTCGTCGTTGTACGAGTACAAGAACCAAGGGATGCCTCCTTCGTACTCTATTCCTTCGGCCTTCCTGCTCTGTAGCCTTACCTTTGTAACCTGACCTCTCGCCCCCATCGCTCCCTCTCGACATTGGCTGGCCTCGCGACTCGGAGTGCTGATGGGCCTGTGCGGCCTGTGGCTGGTTGGTAGCCTTGGGCACCTTGTTGAACTGGAAAAAGCTGGGCTTGGTTGGTTTGTTGCCGTCCATCATGGCTTGGCGCATGCTCTGGGGAGGCAGTCCGGCTGAATGAGGTTCCAAGGTCGACATCGAGGGCTGCAGCAGGTCCGAATCATCGCGGGCCTGAGCGCGATACTGCTGCAGCTGCCGTTGCTGCTGCTGGCGGGTGGCCTCGTCTGGTGGACCGGTGCTGGTCGCTGGCCGTGGTGGTTGTGGTTGTGGCTGCAAGATTGGCGACCTCCCTGTCCGAGGCGGCCTGTTTCTGTGGACGGCGAACTTGCTAATGGGAAAGGGCGAGGTTCGCTGCGACTTGGGCGACTTGGCTTCGATGGGCGACGCGGCGGCGGCTTGCGACGCTCCTTCGGCGGACAGCTGCGGCGGGTCGTCGAGAGGGCTGCCGTCCGCCAGAATCAGCGGCTGCGGCGTGGGCTTGCGTCCCATCTTTGCAACCCCGGCTGCAGAGTGTTCGAGAGGCTGCGCGCAACGGCGGCTTTGGTTCTGGCGCAGGAGGATTGCTCTGCAGCCCTCTGTCAGGGGTTTGTCGGGGTGTTGGATGCAGACGCAGGACACAGACGCTGAGGCTTAGGCTTAGGCTGGCGGATAAGGAGACAACGGTCAGACTCCAGAGCGCGCAGGGCGCTGCAGCAAGGCACTGGGCGTCGGGAGAGGTGCAAAGGAGGGGATGTTCCGAGGGGACTCTGTGCCTCAGCTCTGCTTCAAGATGGAGATGGCAAAGGGGCAGGCTGGTGGGGGGGTCGAGACGAGACGAACGATGGATTGCTGTGGCATCGACTTGGCTAGCCGGCGTCGTGGAGAAGGGAGGGGCGTGCAAGTAACAGAGCAAGTGCGTGCGTGCGTGCGTGCAGATGCGGGTGATTGATTTGTAGATTGTGTGTTTGTGATGGATGAAGTGCGTTGCATGTGCGAGGATGAGGGCGAGTAAGAAAGAGGGCGACGATGAGGCTGGAGCCGTATCCGTACAGTACAGGTACAGGTACAGGTACAGGTACAGAGAGGCTCAGGCTCTATATCCAGTCCTCAACTGTATTGTGGTGTGGGTGCGTGCGTGTGTCCGGATCAAGCCAGAGACGTCGGTGAAAGTGAAAGCAGCAAACTACTCGCGGATGATGCTCTTGGGCCCTGGCCTAGACTCTCTGCAGACTCTCTCGTCGCGACATGCAAAGTAGGTACGAGTACAAGCAGATAGCGCTACCGCCTAAAGCAGCTGGGGCACTTGGCAGGTACTGTCCGGTACCATGAAGGGATCGGGTTGATATTGATCGGTGTCAACACTTGAAACCGATGCTGATATTGATTCTGATATTGATATTGATAAGGTACTGATATTGATGGCCTGCCCGCCGAGTCCATCTGATTGATCTGTGAAAACAGGGTACAAGACAATAGAAGGTGCCTCAATGTGGGCATCGCGCCAAAGGTCCTCCTGTTTTATTCTCTTCCTCACCTTGTCCACTCTGCAAGGCGGTGCCTCATCCAAATTACTGCGACCGCTAAAAAGCAGATCTAACCCATGCTCCCTCTCAACATCCATCCCGTTTGGGGTACCTGGTTATACGTGCTAAAGTAGGTACCTTACCTTGCCCAGGGTGGACGCCAGAAGTGGAGGGGACGAGGGGGAAAGGCACAGGTACAGGTACAGGTACAAGACGAGCACGTTCCCAGTGCCCCTGGCGTCAGGCACGCATTGAGCACATGTGTACATGTGGTTTTAATGGACCCCGGGCCCTCAAATTCTACTTGTATAGGGCATGAAGCAGGCCACGGAAAAGCACCATTGAATGAATGGCTACGTCTATTCACTACACGTATAATGGCCAGGGCTAGGTTCTTTTTTTTTTTTTCCCTCCTTCTGTGTCTGCCATGTGAGCACACGCGCCATCGCATCTGAAACGCCTCGGTGGCCCCGGGTAGAGAACCGCTCTTTCAGGGGTTCCAGCCAGATGATTGGTTCTATTGGCGGCAAATCCCCACCTTGGGGTGGCAGGGTAAAGCAGTCAGCATACTTGCAGGTACTGTGTACAAGCGCTCCATGTGCATTTTGATGCACTTGGCATCTCCCTTGCAGGGCCACCAGACATCAACTCAGGAACATCAAATGTCAGCTGGGTGCCTCCTTGCAGCTCGCTAGGTGGGCAGGCTGCTCGTACAAATACCTACTGCCCAGATAGGAAGCAAGTATGGATATCAATGAGTGATTTGTTGTACTTGTATGCTTTACAGTACGGAGGAGTGCCTGGCAATTTATATCAATGGATCTAATTGATTCAACTAGAGTGTCAATACCAGTACAGGTACTAAGCTTCCTTGCCTCCATTCTGAATCAAGCTTCCATGTACATACAAGTACTGTGCCATACCCCTGGATGTAAATCTTCCGCGCTTGCTGTAAGAGATGCTTCTCCTCCCTCCGTACGAGTACTGTACTCGTACTAGCCCATCAAGCCAAAAGCAAGAGGTACGAGTTTCTTGCAGGTGTTCGTCATCACTCCCGCGCTAAGCAATTGCACGACACACATTGTCCCCAATCCGGCCCGGTAGCACGAGCCCAAAAAGAACCATGAGTGACTAGAGATTGCATATTGGATCGACGCATATTCAACTTTGCCCTTTTTCCAACTAACAGCCATACTAGCCGACCTAGTGCCTCCTACTAAGTATGAAGAAGGTCCCTGATCTTGTACGAGTACTTTGACATTGCTCCTGTACGAGTACGTGCTAACGTCTGCAATGCTGCATCACTTTTGCATTCTGCCTGCAGACAATTGTCCATGTGACTGCTTAGCACCTGGGAGAGGCATTGTTATTGGGCCACCATTGACAACCTCCACATTAGCAGCGTCAATAACGCACTCCATCGAGCCCATCTCGATGCGATTCAATTATCCGGCGCTGCTTGACATATGGTGCACAGCGCACAGCGGACACGTCGCTTCCACAACCAAGACGGTGTCGGGCCGTGCAACTCACAGTCGTGATGCGTCAGTCAATACGAACTGGCTGGCATCTGCAACGTCATGCGCAATACGAAATAAGACAGGCACCCCGTGATGTACCATCGTCTTCCATCCTATTACGAGCAACTCCTGACAGAGCTGTCAGATTCTCATCAAACGCACAGCCACTCCTTCAGCTATTGATAGCTTTCGAGCAATCTCGGTAATGTTCGTTACGCGCGACTCCGTTTAAACTCGTCTCTCGCAACCTTTTTACTGAGCGCCGGCTTAGAAACGCTCCAGAGGGGGCCTGTTGGCAGTACGAGCATCTACAAGGTAAGAAGCCAGTTGCGGGCGGCTCCGGAGTTAGCAGATGTACATCCTTGAGGTGAAGCCGAAGAAAAAAGAAAGCAGAGGAGAAAAGAGACCTACGCATAAACATCCAAATGAACCCCTATAGTTGTAAAGCTTCCCCCTTTTGTAGGGGTTGCAAGTCAGTTCATGCTGAAATGCTGATGCGAAGCTCTGTCTGGCTCGTGAGTATGATTACATAATCATTTCAACGTCATCAGCCAGCGCCTCATCGTTGAAGCCACACTTTGATGCTCGGAACTTGGTGCTTGATACTTGGCAAACCACTTCCCCAACAATCACCATGGCCGAGGCAACTGGAACTTCCGAGGGCCAAAAGCTTGCCATAGATGTTCATGTAAAATATGTCCTGAGCTTGGACACCAAGACCGATGAGCTGGATTACTGGATGACTGAGCACCTACGGCTAAACGGTGCATATTGGGGCCTGTCTGCACTCCATTTCCTCGGTCACCCTGAGGCTCTGCCGCGCAAGGACACCATCGACTTTGTTCTCTCCTGTCAGCACGACAATGGTGGCTTTGGAGCTGCTCCTGGACATGATGCTCACATGCTCTCCACGGTAAGTGCCGTGCAGATTCTCGCCATGGTTGATGGCTTCGATGAGCTGGAAGCACGAGGGAAGGGAAAGGCCGTTGTTGGCAAGTGTAGGTGCTGACATGTATCTCTGCCTAAACGGAACATCACCGGTATCCTAACATACATTACAGTTATAGCAGACCTTCAAAATCCCGAGAGTGGAAGCTTCTTTGGCGATGAGTGGGGTGAAGAGGACACACGATTTCTATACGGCGCCCTCAACGCCCTATCTCTACTGGGTCTTTTGTCTCTTGTAGACGTTGATAAAGCCGTCGCTCACGTCGTCTCTTGCACAAACTTTGACGGCGGCTATGGGGCCAAGCCAGGGGCAGAGTCTCACGCTGCCCAAGTCTTTACCTGCGTCGCTGCCCTCGCCATCGCTGGACGCCTTGACCTTGTAGAGCACGCGAAGCTCGGCCGCTGGCTGAGCGAGAGACAGCTTCCAGGAGGCGGGCTCAACGGCCGGCCCGAGAAGCAGGAGGACGTTTGCTACAGTTGGTGGGTATTGAGCAGCCTTGCCATTATCGACCGGGTCCACTGGATCGAACGACAGGCGCTCATCAACTTCATCCTGAACTGCCAAGATCCCGATAACGGCGGCTTTTCCGACAGACCCGGCAACATGGTGGACGTTTGGCACACGTGCTTCGGCGCCGCAGGGCTGAGCTTACTTGGGTACCCTGGCATGGAACCTGTGGATCCGAGATATTGCATGCCCAAGAAGATTGTGGCGAGAGTCCTAGGGGAATGAAGTTGAAAACGGATATTGCATTTAGTATGCATGCAACGTTTGTCTCGTATCTTGTCATCACCAGTGGCCCTCTCGAATCACCCTCCCATTACGGATCACTTGTTAATGGCAATGCGCAATGGTCAGTGAGATGCTGTGTTGGAAGAGGGAAGAGTATTGAGACTTCAGAGGCATCTCACACTGCCTTTACTTTAGAATACCTATCTAGCTGGCAAGCCAACGTAAGGTAGCCTTGCCTTCCAGTCATGCTAGACTTGGGCCGTGGGACGCGACTTAGGGTAACCTAGAGGTGATATAGACTATGCCCTCGATGACGAAACGAAAGAAAATACACAATCAGTTTTGGACAAACATGTAACTCGAGAGATCTAATATGTTATGACTTTTCTTGGAAATCTGCTACATGTGTACGTCTATTCCTCAAATGCCGCTGTAATGCATTGTTGCTTCATTGTAAAATCCGAGTTGACGAAAGGAAAATGATGTGCATGTCTTCTCAAATAGAACCCTCCCAATGCAACCCCATGAAAGAAAAGCCGATCACATTTTGCTCAGAATTTCTATCAATCTTGCAAGTCGAATCAAAGCAAGTGCAGAAAATATTTCGAGCCAACTATCGTGCCCCTTTAAACCCACCATTGAAAATACTAAAGAAGCCTGCAAGAAATTAAAGACTTGGCACCTACGTTTTAGAAACAGCGAAGCAACGGAAATATATGCATAACATACCTGACAGTCAGGTAATTGTTGCGTCTCATCGTCTACGACCTGTGCCTTTCTATCCGTTATGGCTTACCTGCACAATGCACCTCAGCACAGGTACCTGGTACTTGGTACCTTGTGCCCTTTCCTTCTGATATCGACGCTGCTATCAGTGGTTTCTGAAGAAGGAAGGCACGATGCCGTCATATTTCCTCCCAAGGAGGACTAGCCCCCATGTTTCCCTCAGGCAGAAAGGAAACTCAGGTCCAAGGGCGAGGTTGCTCTTCTTCTCTGCATTTGCAAGCAGTGAGAAGCAGCGTCTCGATACCCTCATTGCCACAGATTCGCAGGTCGATCGAGGTTCCTGCCAGGATATCGCCAGAACGCATCCCGTGACGCTTCGTGACCGCGCCTTCAACAGCAACACCATGGATTCTTCCTTCTCTGCAAAGAACTTGCGGCGAATTCCAGAGCTGCCTCTTCGCTTCGGCCACTCTGTCCTGACTTGGGACGGAAGCGAGCCCGCTCTAGAGTTTCACAAGGCCCCCGAGATACCTCCATGGGCAGCTTCTCCTGGAGCGCTGCTGCCTCAACCGCTGGCCGTCATCAAGCCTTGCCCAGATATGGACGGCTACTATCCCATGGTAAGACACATGACCTCTGCTTCTGCTTCTGCTTCTGCTTCCACTTCCACTTCCACTTCCATCTCCAAGCCAACCTGCTCTTCTGTCCGAGCTTGACCGAGTCTTTCTCTTCTCTGCTTACCCAAACCGCTTCTTCCCTCCAATACCCGCGTACCCAGTTGCTCTTTTCCGAACCACATCACTCTTTACCCTTGCTTCTTTGTTTTTGGTATTACTCCAAGAACCACAGCTCTCGTCTCTCTTTTCTTTCTTGTGCTTGCTGGTCCTGTCGCTATCGCTGTTTTCCTGAACCGACGTCACATCTTGCAATCAGCCTGGCCTTCCGGGTCATGAACAGGTCAGACGTCTCGAAAACCTTCTCGTGACTGTATACATCCTATGAATTGCTTCAAAACAATGCCCTTATTTCGTCTGCAACTTTTGGTTCAAGAACTACGACTAATGATTTGGAGCAGGACATGGCATCAGTGGTCACCGCTGGAAGCTCGTCTGGTTCCGGAAGCAAGCAAATTCCTTTGCACTGCACCGTTTGCCCTGAGACACCACGCTTCTCTGATGTATCACACTTGCTCACGCACATCGCCTCCAAAGGCCATCTTCATCATGAGACCCAGACAAAGCTGAAGGCTCATCAAGACGTTGCGGCCTCTGTATCTCTTCAGCGGTATGAGCAGTGGTACAAAGACAATGGCATTGAGGGGCTGCTTGTCGAGAGGATGAAGGCAAAGCAGCTGAAAGAGGCCGCGAGAAACAAACGAGCCAGAGGGGCGGCTTCGCTTGCAGCTTCAAAGGTATGTACATACTCGTTATGGCTTGAGCAAGTCTGTACCAGCGCGCTGATTGCATAGGAGCAACCCAAGAGGAAAATCAAGCGGACTGAATCCGACACCCTCGTGAAGAACGAACGTGAAGACTTTCCTCCAGACTTTCCCATGTTTCCGGGATTCTATCCATCGGATAATGATAATGAGGTCCAAGACGACTATTTCGGAGCTGGAGATATGATGGCGCTGAAAGGTCAGGTATGGCCAGGGATGGGCAAAATGGATTTGGCAAATGAGGATATGAAACGCACTCGCAATCAAAGAAAGCCCAAGTCAGTCATTGAAAAGATGAGAAGAACATCAGAAGGCATTGAGCCAACGCAAGTCGTTATGACGGCCGAGTTTGAAGTGGAAAGAATCAAGGATGTTTATGACAGCTCTTCGCCAGTGCCGGATCAAGAAGACGCGGTTTGTTCTCGACACCCACATTTTTCAAGTGCACAGAACTGACATTATCCAGACTCCTCTCAAAAAGACAGCGAAACCTCGCCGAAAGCGCGGAGAGCCACTTGCTGAAATTTCTGCCAACATTCCTCGAGGGGGAAATCGCCGTCTCACACGCGACAATGCTGCCCGAGAGAAGAGTTCCAAACCGCTTCTGGCGTTCAGCCGAACTCCGAGCTCCGACATCACGCCTACTCTTGGGCAATTCAAACGTTCTCATGATATTTTTCGGGACGATGACAAGATTCCGAGTAGGCATTCCTGCTTCCCTCATAATCGCAAAGCTGACTCGGTGCAGGTGTCTATGATGGTCGTACCTTGTCCAATACATCTCACAGAGAACTAAGGTAGTATTTGTGTAGTCGATTGACTGCATAACCGTACTGATTTCTCTATAGCTTCGATCTTCGCAGCCGAATGGGGCTTCACCAGTTGAACCCGATAGCGCACTCGAATATTATATCTCCAACACCGGCATCCAGAGATATTCCTGACCGAGGGTATTCGACACGAGACATCCATAGAGGTAGAGGCCAAGAGCAAGCCTATCTCAACATGAACGGACATGTGGGACTAGGTTTGTAGCAACCACATTTCAAATCGCTCTTTACAATGCTAATCAAGACGTATGCCAGGCTCACTCAACCATTCGGACCTATCCTTTGCCTTGAATGGTTCGTCAATCTATAATAGCACGCCGAGGTTTCCTTTCGCTCCAGGCAACCATTTCAACTCTCTCACCCCTGACCACTTTCGCCTTTCTTCAGGCCACACTTCTCAGCACAAATATGACGATTATGCGAACACCAGCGCCGGCGAAGGAAGCACGGTAGCAAACCACTACCTTGATATCCCAAATACCAATCCTTTGTTTTCGCAGGATCGCCTCTTCCTCGGATCATGTGGCCAATCGGGTCCAGCGTCAAGCCTGTCTCCGTTGAGATTTACGTCGATTAATCATAATCAGGAAGCCTCTCATTCAATGCGCCAGAACCAGCCTCCTGCCAACATCAAACTCGAGCCACCTCAGCTTTGCGACGTCCTAGACGACACGAGCATTGAGGATGAAAAAGAGTCACGATTCCCTGGACAAGGTATTTGGGAGTCGCAAGGATCTGACAACGGCATCGACATCCACGAGGATCTCCAACACGATGAATTGGAGCTCTAACTTTTTCTTTACTTGTTACAACGGATGGATCGTTGACGTGGTATCCATTTCACTTATCCTCAGCATGTGCCAACATCCGATATTTTGCAGGAACGGTACCGGCGCACGTTTAGTTCCTTCATCGTTTTCGGACGTATAATCCTCTAGAGGCGCTTTACGGGGAGTTTCATGGTAGACATAGAGGAGGTGAGTTCAGAATAACTAATCCGCCGGTTCTGATCACTAAAATATCACCAGAAGCAGAGCAAACGGTAACTCTGCTTTTACATGAGCCACAAATGGCAACGATCAATACGGTGATTCAGCAACTTAATCGACGCCGAGCAGCTGAGGCCTAATAAGCGGTGTAGTCTTCCTCACGCAAAATGCCCGGTTCAGTCAATTGTCATGGGATACAGCAATGGATTTATGATAGAGGCATAATAGAGGCGAGTACGTACTCTCGGCGCATTGTACTTTGAGGATTATGAGTATATGGCGAGGTATTTTGCGATTTTCTTTAAGGGACGATTCTACAATCATTCTACAGCTTGGGTTTATACTGGACGAGCCCGTTTACAATAGTGATAGTCAATTTGAACAAAGCAGCCCAGTTGGCAAGCTTCTTTTGTTTGTCTGGAGGCTGAACATGGGCAAGGTCATGGGAGAAACAATCTTTGGCGTTCGTATGGTTCCATATTGATATTCAGATATGATAAATACATCAGCTTTTCATTTCTCATACATTAAGGTACACCAGTAAATGCCATGGCAGACGTTGCCAAAAAGAAAACACATGTGAAAATCCCCCGTACTCATAGACATTCTAGTGGCTATAGCTGCTCAATAGAGGAAATCAAGTGGTCTAACTGGTCTGGTCCCGATTCTATGACATGGGCAAGGGTTCGGTATGCTCCTTGCAACCGCCGCCGCTTCATTTCATTTTCTAGCTGTTTCGACTTGCCCGCAGCAACGTCGATGACTTTCTTGGGAATGCGAGCCAAGCGGGCGACGTTTAGCCCATACGATCGGTGAGCTATGCCCTCTCCTACTTCATACAGGAAGGTGATCTCCTCTTCACCGTCCTGTCCGGTCTGCGCGTTGAATTTCATGTGGACGTTTGTGACGCCGGGCAGGCCATCGACAACACGTGCGAGATTCTGGTAGTGGGTGATGAAGAGGGTCAGGCACCTGGTCTCGGTGACGACGTGCTGCAGGACGGACTGGGCAATGGCGGCGCCGTCGTGGGTGCTGGTGCCGCGGCCAAGCTCGTCGAGGATGACGAGGCTGCGGGGGGTGGCGGAGCGCAGGATGCGGGCCGTCTCGGAGACTTCGACCATGAATGTGGATTCGCCGGCGAAGAGGTTGTCTCTGGCCCCGGCGCGGGTGTGGATGGCGTCGCAGAGGGTGAGGGTGAGAGAGTCGGCGGGGACGAAGGAGCCGATTTGGGAGAGGAGGACGATGAGGGCGACGGCGCGGACAAAGGACGATTTGCCGCCCATGTTGGGGCCGGTGATGAGGTGTGCCAGGGCGGAGGGGTGGGAAAGGGTGGTGGTGAAGGGGATGTAGCTCCCTTCGAGCGTCTGCTCGGCGATGGGGTGGCGGCCTTGGGAGATGGAGATGGACGGTTCGGCGGTGGAGGGCAGGAATGTCGGTCTACTGTAGCCGGGCTGAGCAGCGATCTTTGCGAGGGAGAGGAGGCAGTCCAGCGTGGCGAGGGCGGAGATGGCATCTCGGAGAGGCTGATACTCTGCCGCGATGGTGGCGAGGAAGTCTTTGAAGGCCTTGTCGCAGGCGGCGGCGAGAGCCTCTCGATGCTGGTCGCGCTCGGAAATGAGGCGGATGACTTCAGGGGTGTGGAACCGCGAGAGAGCCTTGGTGCCGGAGATCTTGCTCCACGATGCAGGGACGTTCTTGATGTCTTTGTTGGGGACGGCGATGAGGTATTCGATGCCTGCGACGGTGACGTATTCAACACTCTTCTGCTTAATTTTCCCGGCGGCGACGGCGCGGTGTTGGTCGAGTTCGTGCTCGACGTGGGCGATTCCAAGCTGGTGGTCCTGGATGTCTTCGGTATGGAACTCCTCCCGAAAGAATTCATACTTGTCGTCCTTCTTGGCAGCGTAAAGATTGATGCGCTCGAGATACGAGACGACGGAGCCCAGGATCTGCGGCAGGGTAGTGATGGCATTGACAATCAGTGGTGAGTCGAAGCCGACATCAGAGGCTGATTTGACGGAGGAGTAATGACTAGCAATCTTTTGTAGGGTCTGAAGCACGGATAGGAGCTCTGGCCTGGTGCATTTGCCGTAATAGATCCGGATGAGACTGCGCTCAAGATCGGCCTTGGTCGTTGTGAGTAGCCTCTCAAGGTCATCGACAGGCGACGTGGATTGCTTGTCAACAAGTTCCTGCACTGCGGCAAGGCGCTCGTCCAAACGCTCTCTATCAAGCAATGGGCGGCCGACCCATTTCCGCAGGAGACGCTGTCCAAATCGGGTGAGAGTCTTGTCAACAGCCCAGAAGAGGCTGCCCTTTTGAGAGTGATCAGTGGCGTTGCGGTAGACTTCGAGGCTCTCCAGCGTTGTGCCGTTGATGAGCATGTGGGAGCGAGTGCTGAAGCTCTGAAAGTACTTTGTAAGGCCAAAGATGTGCTCCAGGCCGTATTCCTGTAAGTGGGTAATCATGGCGGACAGACAGATGGTGATGGCCTCGGGGAGTTTCAGGACTTTGTCGAGTAGGGCGCTCGCCGTCTCATTATCTGAAGCTTCCTTCACTTGGTCGGCATAGAATTGCGTTACATGAGAATAAGCCTCGGCGGCCGTGGTTTTGCTCTTGGGCACACGCTCAACACGGGAGCGATCACCAAACACGTTGGTACTACTGCCCGATAGATGCTGTATCAGTTTATCAGTCCCCTTGGTGAGGTCGCCTACTATGAGGAACTCGCAAGGCGATATGTGCAACAGCCGTGTCTCGATCTCACTCCGCATAAAACCATCTTCAAAGGTGTCGTAGATGATGTCACCGGTGGCGGGCTGGACAGCTAGAACCCCGACACTGACATTTTCATCAGTGCCAGAACCTTTGGTAGCCGTTTCTGTGATACAAAGCAGGTAGCCGCCAGATGGGGTAGATGTGTCCTGGCTATCTAGCTCTCCATTCTCATCGATGTATGTACCCTTTGTATAGAGGTTGGTGAGTTTGCGGACGAAGGGAGCGTTTCTGTTGTCACCAGCTTTCTTCAGCGCCGCGGTTTCGATTTGGCGGACGACTCCAACTTTGTGCCCAGCAGCGACGAGGCGCTTTGCGTGAACGGGTAATCTGTGAACCGGAATGCTGGCCGACGCAAATCGATCTAGATGAGCTTCTGAGGGATCTGGTGCCAGTTAGTAGTGCGTATTAAATGGACTGAACAAGGACGGGAGACACGCACGCTCATCATATCGCATTTTACCCGGTATGCACACGATACCCAGCTCCTTGGCAGCCACTCGGGCATCGTCACCGAAGAATCGAAACTTGTATCCGACCTCGACGATGAGGATCGTGTCCATGTGCTTCCGCTTGATGTCCAAGAATTGCACTTCCATAGGGGTTAGCTTCCCCGTTTTAGACCCCTTCTTCTTTGCTTTTGAGGCAATTGGAGCTTCTTCCTCTTCGGGGTCTGCATCGGCATCCTCGTCATCACCAGCGCCGGTGTCCTGTGCCTTCAGGGACCTCCAAGACAGGGCATCGGGATGGCCCAGTTTCTTGACGAATTTCCTGTGCAGCTCCTTGTTCTGCCTCCTTACTCGAGCATCGTCGCTCTCATCACCAGCTTCTTGCTGTGAATTCGATTCGTCGTAGCGATAGCGTTGCGCTCGTGACGAAGTCGGACTTCGGTTGCTGGCCGTTGCAGGAACGGCAGAGTCATTGTGGAAAAAGGAGCTTTCTGCATCCTTTTCTTCATCTCCTCTGGTTCTCTTTGCTGCTTTCTCGGCGGCGCCATTGGAACTGTCGTTATCCTTGTCGAGCGGCCGTTTCCTTGACGGCAGATCCGACTGCTTCACGGGGGTGGGCGAAGACGGCACCGCGGGCCGAGAAGACGATGCAGCGCCATTGACGGCCTTGGGCGTGAAGAATGCAGTCAGAGACTTTTGCTTCTTCTCTGGTGCTTTCGAAATAGGCGTCATGGCGTAATTGATGGCGGTGACCAAAGATTGTCGTCTTTTGCCATGTAATGCTCCGTACTATTTTGTAAGAGACGATGATGAAGCTATAATTTGGCTGGCAAGAGTGAACCTCTCAACGCGTCCAGCTTTGGAATGCGCGTTGGGAAGCCCCATACTTTGCCTGTTTAGGAAATGTCGACGTCAGGGGACTTCTTATCTTATCAAGCAGCATCTCCAAATAAGTACACGCATGTCTGTACAGGTCCTCAAAGCCATATTGTTCATGTTCTGCCAACGAAAAGCTATGATAATACTGAATCTCCAACTCATCCAAGCTCTACGCCGTATGCTTTCGCCCAGACGAACTCTTATTGGTACCCACAGAACGGGTCCAAGCAGTAGGACATGTCGCAGCTAGCAGCAAATCTAGGGTTGCACAGCTATCACGACATTGCGTTGGCTCGGCACCATTTCCGGCTCTTAACACGGCATCCAGAAGATCAGTCCCTGATGATTGATACATACTTCCTAGAACAGTAAACAGGTGATTACTTCGTACAAGCGGAAGCGAGATGACGACGCTTGATGTTGCCGCCAGCTTTTATATCTCCTGCATGATCCACTGAACCCTGGTTCACAGCCTTGCATTCTCGGCCCAATGAGGGATAGAAGCGAACAGAACAAAAAGCAGCACAGCCTGGCCCCTCTTCATGTCCACGCGCTTTACAGTAATTTGGCCGTCGCAGCTGATGAGGCCTGCCGGTATGCGAGTCTTGGCCTCGCAATGCCAGCGCTTCCAATCTCATGCCATAGGCCATTCAGGTGGTTTTTTCCAAGGTCGGCGCTTACAGGGCTGCCGAGATGGAGATGCGCAGCCAATCAGGTCCCTCTGCAAGGGCCTCCACGTTGCAGACAGGCCGCCACTAGCTTCTAGCTCCAGAGCAGACTCCAGCCATGGCTCCAGAGAAGGCGTTTGTTGTCTGTTGACATTTCCTGTGTTGCCGCCGGCCCCTGTTTTGGTTTGGTTTGGCCTGGTTGGTTGGGGGTGGTGCAGCGCCAAAGGTTCTGGTCTCGTTCGTTCTCGTTCTCCCAAGTAGCTTAGCAGTACGGGGTGATACCACTTCTCGATAGTAATTCGGCTGCGTCGAGAGGTATTGCGCGGGTATCTGGGCATGTGAACCAGTCCAGTGGCATTTGACTTGGGCAGCAAACCAAATCTCACAATAAGCTGTGTAAGCCACTCATCTTGGAGCCGCTTCCTTCTCGCCTTGTTCCTTTTCTTCTCCGTCGTGATTTTCTTCCTCCATCGTCGCAAATCAACCCTTTCCCTCCCTCCTTCGCCGACCATATTTTCGGCATCGAATCTCACTTACAGCGTCGTTGCAGCGGGCCGTGCGGCCAGTTCTGCGACCCATCCCGTCATCTTGGAGAAGCTAGAGGGGTTAGTACCAGGTACGTATAACGTCAACCCCGCCACCAGCTTCTGTGCCGCCACGACTAAGGAGTCAAAAGTAGCAGTACGGAGTGCCCAAACAAGCATCTCAAGCATCTTGTCCTCGCCGGTTTTACTTCTCTCTTAAGTTCTATAGCGGCCGCCTTATTCTAGAGCCTTTACCGCCTTCTCACATCAAAAACGAGTACGTACGCCCTTCGTGTATACTCTACCTGGCTTTCCACGGGTTTCTCGCTGACAGCTTTGGTGGTCGTTGATAGGAAGAATCTCCCTCTCCCACGTCAAGCAAGATGGAGCGCAGCCGTGGCGTCCCGGACAATGAGCTCTTCATGAGCAAGCCGGCGCCAGAAGACTGCGACAGTCCAACGGTAGAGCCGTTGCGCATCTTCAAGCCTCAAAGCCCCGATCCTTATTCTCGCGTCTCATCGACCTCCTCCAGCAGACCAACCTTCCCGCTGCCTCCTGGTGCGTCGAGCTCTGCTGCGCCTTTGCCGTTCCCAGACGACGACGACATCCGAAAGCCAACTGCCCCAAAGCCCTATGGCTCTGCCTACAACGACACGAGCCCTCGGTTGGACACAAACATTGCTGCCGAGAAGAAGCCAGGCCTTGCTGAGAGGCGAGGTGCGGCACCGAAGCCCATACACTCTCCGTCGAGTCCCGATGCCGACTATGGCCTCTTTGCGAGACCGCTGCAAGATAAGCCTGCAGCTACGACAACAAACTATCCGACTTACCAGAAGACCTATTACCCGCCTCCCGGAGCTGCATCCGGACCCTCGGGCAGCTCATCAGCGCAGCCGCAGCAATATTCACAGCCCAAGCCATATCAACAACCTCAGGCGTATGAACAGCCCCAACCACAGGCGCCTCCGCAGCCCCCCAAGGTCCCCCAGGTTGAGAACTTGAGCGCCAGCGATTCAGGCGTCAACCGATTTGCCTCCACAGCTTCAAACTCAACCACCAGAGCCAGCCGGGGCTCGCCCCCGCCTCCAGAGACCCCCATCCTAGAGCCTGGGAACGTGCCTGGAGGAGGAATCGAGGCTCGGTATGCTGCTTCAGGCATTTCCGGCACAGCAACCCTCACCAGCCTTCAAGCCTCACAGGTACAGAGTGCTGCGGCCGCGCAGAGACTGGCGCAGTACAACAATCAACAGCCACAACCTCAGCGCCCCTGGACGCCTACAGAGTCTCCCGACCAGGCTCCCTCGGGTCCGCCGACTGTATACCAAGGCATGAATCCAGTTTCATCTCCTCAGCCGCAACAGCCAATCACCAGCCCTATCCCTCAACAACAGCCAGCACAGAATCAGGCCAACGCTCCAGCCCAAGTAAGCGTTTTGGAGCAGGACTTCCAGCGCATGTCCACCAGCTCTCCTCCGCCAGCTTATTCGAGTGTCAATCCTAGCGGACGTAGCTCATATCCGGCTGAGAAACAACGACCACAACAAGCCAGCCAAACACCTGCCTCTGTGCCCGCTGCTACTCCAATTCCATCTCAAGCCTCTGCGTCCACCAGCGCGGCACCACAGCCTGCCAAAGAGGCGGTGGTGGCCGCGGCTACGGCTGCAGCCACCGCTGCCGCTGCTGCAGGCCTTAGTTCTGCGGCTCCTCATAATCAAGGCCATCCTGCATTTGCAAACGATCCTAAACCGGAGCCAGTCGTTCAGCATGCCCAGGTTGTCACCATGCCCCCAAATCTCGCAGCGGCTGGCCCTGTTTCTCCGCCTCCTCTGCCCGAGGGATGGATTGCCCATCTTGACCAGAATTCGGGCCAATACTATTACATTCACCTGGCCTCGCAGGCAACTCAGTGGGAGTTTCCAAAGGGTCCAAACCCTATTCAGCACGATCAAGCTCCTCTCTCGCCCACCGCCTCGACGTACGGAAATCCTTTGGCTTCACCCATGTTTGGCAAAACGCCCATGGCTTCTCCCATGTTTCCTCCCCACACTCCTGGATATGCTGAAAGCATCATGAGCGTTGCGGCCTCACAGGCCCCGACTGTCGGCTTCACAGGACCGCCGCCGAGCGCCGGCGTGGATATGTACAGGATCCAACCAACCAACGGGGTCTACTTTGGCCCTTACCTCAAATACGTTAACATGAATATCGAGACGGGCAAATGGTTTGGTAGCATCCTCATCGTCACAGATGCGCCCCAGCCGCCTACTATTCACTTGCACATGAGCATGGATCTGTCCCCAAACCCCAAGCAGCTGATCCCCCACCCCATCTTCGTCCACCAGCGCTGGACCTTTTACAAGTACGAGATTGACATCGACATGGGAGAGGCCACTGACCGATGGACTTATGCGGTCACGTCGCACCTTGGATGTACCCGCTACGAATTTGTCGTCGCAGGAAGGCATGAAACTGGATGGCGATTCATAGCCCACTCGGGTAACGATTTCGCTGTCGGCACTTCTCAAAACGAGCGCTCCAAGCTGGGTGGTGTGGGTTTCATGTGGAAGGACGTCCTCCAGAAGAATGTGGAATGCGGCGGCTTCCATGTGCAACTCGGTTTGGGTGACCAGATTTATGGTGACAGGCTGTGGAGGGAGGTGCCTCTGATGAAGCAGTGGCTAGCGATGAGTGGAAGAGACAACAAGAGAAACACGCAATGGACGGCCCGCCACGAGGAAGACGTGAGCCATGCTTACTTCCACTACTATACAAGCCACTTTGACCAGCCTTATCTGAGGGAGGCTTTTGCTCAGATCCCTCACGTCTTGCAGATTGATGACCATGACATGTAAGTGTAGAAAAGGGGGAGGGGGAGAATAATCCCTATTCTTCACATATTCGCGTTTTAATGACTTTTCTCTAACTTTTTTATAGCTTTGATGGATTTGGCTCATATCCCGACTATATGCAATCATCTGCCATTTTCAAGAACACCGGGCGGGTCGCAGCGGACATGTACCTGCTATTCCAGCATCATACAACGGTGGAGATGATGCGTAATGTCAGCACTGACCACGACATCTTCACCATTACAGGTACTGGGTGGCATTTCGTCAAGTATCTCGGTCCGGCAGTGGCTGTTGTCGGGACAGACTGCCGATCGGAGCGAACCCAGGCTCGTGTCATGGCCGGGCCTACTTACCAGGGTATCTTCCCCAAGGTGGCGACTCTACCACCCAGCGTACAGCATGTCATCTGGATGGTGTCTGTTCCCCTGGTCTATCCCAGGCTAGATACCGTGGAGAGCTTGGCTAATACCGTTGCTGCGGGAAAGAAGGCCGTCAACACGACGTACAACATCCTTGGCAAAGTCACAAGCTCCGTGGCAGGTGTTGTGGGTGGTAAGGAGATGGTGGCCCAGGGATTCAGCCAGGTCAAGAAGGCTGTTGGTAAATCAGGACTCATGGGCAACGTCCTCAACCAATTTGGCGAGCTGGATATCCAGGAAGTCCTCAAAGACATGTGGACGCACGACTCCAAGGATCTAGAGAGGACATATTTCATCCGAACCCTTCAAGGTATCGCCCAGCAAAAAGGTGTCCGCATGACATTCTTATCTGGAGGTAGGTTCTCAATTGCCCCTATCCACTCCAAATCTTAGTATATGCTAACCCATGTCTTTGCAGATGTCAACTGTGCAGGAGCTGGTCTTGTTCACGACCCGACTCACCCTGGGGACCACAAGACGATGTACCAGATTATCACTTCACCGATAGTGTCTGCGCCTCAGAGCACCTACGTGTTGAAGCTGCTCCATAACCAGAAGACGCTCTATGTACCGCTTAATGGCCAAAAGTCCACGCATGAAGTATCTGATACCAAAGAAGACATGATGGAAATTTTCCATACCGATGCTAGTGGAGCGACGAGAGAGCTGAAGAAGCTCATGGGCCGCCGCAACTACGTGGCCGTCGTTGCATACGACCATGATGCTGTCATGGCCCAGAGTCAGGGGCCCTTTAGCCCCAACCCTAGCATCCATAGCCAGCAGCCGGGCTTGTCTAGGCTCAGTCTCGCGGTTGACTTTGTGGTACAAGGTGATGGAGCTTTTACGGCTACCACCAAGTACGGCCCTGTGATTATCCCTCACTTGGAATATGGAAGGTGAGGAGGCTAGAGGTGGAAGTATGTGACGATGAGAGAGAGGTAGAGACGGGGAGGGTATTGGGTGACGATGCAATTTTACGTCAAGAGGTGGATAAAATGTTGGGGGATATTCGACTGCCAGTTTTCTCCCTGCCTTTTTTGTTTTTTTTTTGTATATAAGAGATTAACGAATTCTGCCTTTCTTCTTGTATCTGTTTTTGAGCATGTGCGCAGCACGCTGTTGGTAGTTTCTGTCACCTTTAGAGAGCGAAGCAAGAGGAATAATGACATGAGCGTTTGTATAAATGAGAAATTTTGAATATGGGTTATCTTGGTATTCTTGGTATTATCTAGATTTGATTCGGACGGGACCATCATTCGTGGACCTGTCCTTTTGCGAAAGCATTTGGCTCTACTGTCTCTCCCACATCTCTTCAAGCGCGCAACATCCATGGGCGGAACCTCCATTTATAAAACAAATTTAGATGTCGAACAGCTCCTTCAGGATGCGCATGGTGTCCTCGGGACCCTTGACGGAGTGGCCAATGGTCCTGGAGTCGCTGTAGATCTCGAAGTCGTTGCCGCCCTCGAAAGTCTTGTCGCCAAAGAAGTGGATGTTCTTGTAGGTGATTCCGTCGGGCTTCTTGGCTTCGTTCTCGAGGTGCTGCAGGCAGTAGGTCTTGTCCCAGCCGGTGGGGAAGACGTCGAAGGAGATCTGGCCACCAATGGAGAAGCTAGGTAGAACTATTAGTTGAAAGATTCTCGACTGACGAAGGCGCAATTGGGGGGAAAAGAGAACAAAAAGGAGAGCAACAAGAACGTACATAAGGCCCAAGTGTCCAAATCGTTCCTTGAGGGCGGCAACAAACTTCTCCCGGACCTTGGCCTCCTTGTCAAAGGCCTCGAAGTCGTTCCTCTCCTGGGTGCTGGCGTTCCTGCCGACGGGGGAGATGTTGATCATGCCGTTGCGGAACTCGATAAAAGTTCCCCTCTTGACGGGGATGTCGAGGTCGGCGATGTAGTGCAGGCAGAAGTTGGCGAGCTCCTTGTACTGGGCCTCGCCGATCCAGCGGATGAAGCTGTTGGAGGGGAGGGGCTGGCCCAGCTTGTAGGCCGTGAGGCCGTTCTCGGCGAAGCAGTAGTCGAAGAGGGTGGTGACGGGGACGCCGGCGGGCTTGCCGAGCTGCTCCTCCTGCTTGATGAGGTCGGAGCCGCCGACGAAGCCGATGGAGCACTTTTTGCGGAGGGCTTGGAGGAGGGCGAGGACCTCGGGGGAGGCATCCTGTGTGAGGTTCCATGTTAGCGATTGGTGGTGGTAGGCATTGGGGCAGCGGATTTGCGAATTGGAGAGAAGTATTGGTGGCAGATTAGGAATTGGAAGTCGAAGAAGATGTTGCGGGCGATATCAATGCTTGTCAAGGGGTGCAATGCCAAACTTACGAGACGAGCGGGAGTCAATGTGCCGTCGACGTCGAAGAGGCAGATGGTGTCCTTGAGAGGACGCTGCTCAAGAGGGGTATAGGTGGGCGCAGTCATGGCGGGCAATTAAAGAAGAAGAAGAAGAAGAAGGTGATAATAAAAACAAAGATAAGATATGAGAAAAGAGAGACAAGCAGCGAGTCTTTGAAGAGACGCGGGAATCTATTCGAATTTGTATGGAAGCTTTGTAGAACGACGAGAGTGTCAATTGCGGGATGGGATGCTTCAACAACGAGGGGCAGGGCGGTGAAAATAAATATTGACGGAGAGAGTCCCTCAGTGACGAAACTCCAATTGGCTTGAGCTTCGAGTTTAGCGCAATGATCCCCTGTAACAAGCTCGACTAGCGGCTGTAGTTACAGGTGATCCTTCGTACTACAGGGTGGAGGGGCAGTGCTGAAGAAATGACGGGAGAGACCCCTTGAGCCACTAATTTCAGCTTATAAGACACGTTTCCCCAAATTCGAAGCTTTTGGGATACTGGGCGATTGTCTATTGGCAAGACATGGATCAGTTTTTGAGCAGAATGTTGGTTGCTGTCACAGATGAAGGGTGTGATGAACATGACACAGCCTCTGGGTTTTGTTTGAATTAGATGAAGAGTAGATTTGGGGACACGCGTACAATGGCAATGTGACTGATGGATGGTGTACTCGTAGATGAATACGAACAGCCGAGCAGGAATCTTCGAGGCAAAGGCGGACGTGTAGTATCTCCATGATTACATTTGGCGGGGTGAATACGAGGGCGCAATATCGAGATTGAGATCCCATTGGAACTCGGTGAATCTTTTGTAACTTCTCCAGAGCTTGAATGCTGTTTGTAGTACCTCTACCTCTTCTAGGTTGGTATGGCGATGTTCTCAATTCGGGCGTTGACGTCCATCACTTTCGTATATTATATGCGCTGCTATACCTACAAATGTTCCACCGCTATCCCCTATACCATCTACCTTAGTACTCAACAGAAACAAAACGGTAAACATAAAACGAATGTTGTACAAGTAAAAATGCTTCAAAAAGCTCATGCCATGCTCATCATCATGCTCATGCTTACGCTCGTAATGATGCATCAAATCCATATCCTCGGTCCCGTAACGTCATACCCCCATCAAAAAATCACTTCCCATACAGGCCCTCCAAAAAGGCGAGCACATACTATACAATCCCCCTCCATCACAGTAGTCAAGAAATATCCCCTATTGCGCCTGTAAGTTCGACAATGACGTTGGCCACCGTGCTAGCCACCCAGATCGCAATCAGTGCCCAGCCGATTCTGCGGCTCAGAATCCACTTGTTCAGAGGCACAGCAATCAGCAGGCCAACCAGAATCACGAGAAGTGTAATGGACGATACCATCAACGTCCCCCCTATCTGGATGCGGTACGGTTTGTATGCGTAATCGTCTCCTGGGTGCTTATGCTGGTGGCGATTTGCGTCTTGAACCATCATCAGGACGCCTCCCACGCCTATTCCAAGTAGAATATTGAGCATTGGCCCACCAAAGCAAGCAGACCTACAACGGAGAAGCACACAGTCAGCAATTATTCACAAAGAAGAATAGGGGTTCTACTTGTACTCACAATGCCATGACGGGATATCCAAGTCGGGCCACTGTAATATCAGCCACCAAGTCGCCCACACTGTTGCCAGCTGCGAAAATGGTGAGTCCGAGTAAAGCCTCGGAAATGCCGAGGACCACGCCAAAAGTCTTCAAAACACCGACAACTTCGCCCGCCACCGTTGAAATCCAAGCTATGCTGATGATGAATCCCAAGAAGCAAAACAAAAAGTGGTACTCGGGTCGCTTCTGCTCCGAGGTAAGCAGAAGCAAAGCCCCCAGCAGTATGAGCGATCCTAAAAGCGTCCATAATATCATGCGCACCAACATGGCCCCTGGCTTCTCCCAGTCCTCGGAGATGTTTGCCCAAAGAATAACGACGGCAAACAGCGGCCCCATGAAGAGTTGGAGGCAGACAAGCCATCGGTTCCATCCCAATTTTTCCTCGCTCTCCTGGCTGATGGACCGAACTTCGGACAAAGGTTTGGGCGCGCCTGGCCCTCGAGTGTGGGGAGATATAACCAACGTGTCTTCATTTGGCAGCGCCAAGAGAGGTGTCTGAACACTCCCAGTCATGGCATCACTATTTCTGCTATGTAGCGAATATCTCCGAAACCGATTCCACTCATTCTCAGGTTCGATTTCTCCTGACTGGATCGAAATGGGTGGAGCCACAAGACTCGAATGATAGGTACGGGCATCGTCCAAAGACTCGACTTCCCCTGCCGTCGTCTCTGACTCAACAACCGGTAGCGTTATGACCAATAGGAAGATACTCGGTACAGATATGATGCTGATAGCCTTGTCCCAAAGTGCTTTTTCTCTCCACCCTTGCAACGTTGGGAACAGGGTAGCGAGGAGAACATGTGGCGCTGGAAGAACCGAGTATGGCCACCATGTTACCGGTCGTGATACAGTCTCGGCGCTGCCAAACCCAGCAAAGGGGCTTTCACGAACAGTGGCCGAAGGTGGAGGAAGCATGCTAAACCCAGCCGGTTCGACTTGCGTATTTGGCGAGATCAGCATGGGGGAATCTGTGTATTGAGGGAAAGGCATCACAGGCGACGTCGGACTGCTCAAGCTACCACGTCGGCTGGGTATCTGCAGTTGAAGCCGGGGCGCGAGCTGTGATTGCCGGTGATGACCACCAGCCGCTGACCCAGGTAAGTCGACTGGAGGAGGCGCCAGTTTTCCACCAATTTGATACGACGGGGCAGGGCTTGCCGTCCTTTGGCTGGCTGCTCCATCTTGGGCGGACAACAGACTGGAATCTGACCTTTCTCGCACGACCCCCAACAGATCTTGGGGCACAGATGCCGAGGCAGGAGCAGTTCCGTGCGACCTAGCCCTCTCCCTCCCATTGGCGGCGGCATCATCACGGGCGGAGACATCGGCTGGGTCGGAAGGTAGCAGGTCAGAGATGGCGCTCGTGCTACCTCTCCGCCCTCTGTAAACGTGGTTTTCAGAGTAGCTCCGGGCCGGGATTGGAGAAAGCTGATGGTTGCTCTCCCGCTGCAAGTGTGCCAAGGCAGATCTAAACTCCAACGCTCCAATCAAACTCGGCCGAATCGGTGTGAGTGTGTTCCTTCGCCCGCCCTGGGGGCGCAAGACTCGCATGCTTCGCGTCACCTCTGCCACAACCATTCTTTCGTGGTCCTCATCCGTTTCTTCGCTGTCAACGCTCCTAGGCGTCTCAGCGCCCTGGCCGTCAACCTCTATAATGGGGCCGCGCTCCAAAGCAGAGAGGATACTCTCTGCAACAGCGCTTGGCGCATGTCGGCTTCCTTCTTGGCTCGTATCGTCGGGATCGTCTCGGTAAGGCTCGCCAGCCAGCTCATCGCCGCTATGGCCTGTTAGCCCATAGAAGTTGCTACGAGCCTCCCCTTCTCTGCGCAGCCTCCGCTTTCGCCTCGTAATATACCAATGGCATCCGACAACTGTCACGACATAGAGTACGTAATATCCAATCATGGCGCAGCATTCCCAGAAACGCAGTTCTCCATCGGCCAAGAAGCCCATGGTAAAGGCAACCGCAACAATAAAGAAGCAAATGTCTCTGGCATATGTCCGACGATCCACTCTGAACTCTCTGACCAGGGCCATGGACCCGGCCACCACGCCCGTGATGAAGCTGGCAGCGCCGATGAGTTCGCCGACGGCCATGCTCGCGCTGTTGGAGCTCATGGCTGCAAAGGTGCTGAAGACATCGGGGGATCCATTTCCAAAGGCGAGGAACGTGACGCCTGCAAGACTCTCACTGAGGCCCAGGATGGTTGCGATGGTGCTGAGATTGACGCTGAAGAAGTCGCTCGCCGCGATGCCAATAGTAGTAAACAAGAGCCCCAGCCAGGTCACCAAAAGGACAAAGGCAAAGGGCTGCGCTTTGCCCAGCCTGCAGTAATAGAGCTCGAGATAGGGAAGAAGGCCGGCATCTTCGTCGAGGCAATATGCTTTTACAAAGGCGCACTGATCTTTGGCAGTGTGCACTTGACGGCACTCGGGCTCTTCGTCGGATCGTCTCAACAGCTCCAGGCTGCCGTGGCCATGGCCATGATGACGCTGATGCTGATCGTATGTGTGTGCCAAGAAAGAGTACGCGGCCAGCAGAGACAACAGCAGTACCGTGGTGTAAAAGGGCCGGAAGCTCAAACGGCCCCGTCTGGCGTTTGTTGTCCGCATGCTGGTCGCATCGACATATCGCAAGATTGCGTCGGACGAGTTGCGGGAAGCGATCTTGGAGTTTGGTCGTGCAATGCGATGGTCATGAGCGTCTCATCGGTTGTGGGTTGCAAGTTGCGGGTGCTGTGACATGATATTCAATGACGTCCGTTGCGCTAGTCCATGCCTTTGTGACGCCTCGGTGGCGGTGCAAATTTCCAGGGGACTTTTTCTGTGCTCCGACAGTGCTAAAGGCCCTGCTGAAGACAATGCGGGAGTCTTGCAGACAGTTAAGGATTCTGGGGCTACTCCCAGTTACCTTCCAGTACCGGCACCCAATGTGGCTGCAGTTCATTGGTGGCACGGAGTATGTACATGTGCCAGCTCACATCGAGCACTTATTGGGCTTTGTGCCTTTGACCATCGTGTTTAACCTGGATTGGTGGTACATTTAGAAGAGCCGGTCGAGAACAAAGCCAGACCGGCCAAAGAAAGCCACAGGTACATCATGTGCGAGATCTTGATGGTGATACAATGGCTGTGCAGGCGGCAACTTTGCCTATTGAGTTCTGACTGTTTGCCCCAGGAACAAGAGGAACAAGAGGAACAAGAGGTACCAGGCATCTACAGTCGAGTACCTGTACCTGCTTGCCGTTGTCGCGTAGCTACAAACTTCAGCCAAGTGTGGCGCGTGGCGCAGGTGGCTTTCCAATCGCAGCATTTGGTTGGCCAGCCAAGGTGGGGTTTCGCAGACACCCGGTAGTTCGTGTTGCTTCACGAAAGTCAACAGTAAACAAAAAATACTTGGCCCGAGACGACACGCGGCAGAGGCTTTGCCTCGGATACATTCGAACAAACCCTACGCAAAATCGGCGACGACCCCGACTCCGAAAATGCCTCGGATTGCTCAGATGCCACGCGCTGGTGGCGCAAAGTCGTCATCGACCAACATCTCGGGGTCGCCATTCAAATCTCCCATCAAGTAAGCAGCATCTCGTGAACCCCAAAGCCCAAACCCCGCGTCGCCGGGCATTTATACCAATGATGAACGATAGAATCCCCCTCAACGACGATGCACAAGAAAAGGGCCAGCGGATGAACAACCGAAAAGCGCTTCAGGAAAAGCAGATAAAGGAGATCAAGAGGGCGGCCACCCCGCGCAACAGCCTGGGGATTGGAGGATTTGACAATGGTTCACAAGATCCCAACACGCCCCGGGGGACAAGAGGGCTGGATGACGATGATCCCATCATGGTTGGAGGCGTGTCCGTGACGCCGATGAAGCGTGTTCCCATCCTAGCCAACTTTGAAGAGTGGATGAAGATGGCCACAGACAACAAGATCAATGCCACCAACTCATGGAACTTTGCCCTCATCGACTACTTTCACGACATGTCTCTGCTCAAGGAGGGTGACGGCGTCAATTTCCAGAAAGCGAGCTGCACGCTTGATGGATGCGTCAAGATTTACACCAATCGAATCGACAGCGTCGCAACCGAGACCGGCAAGCTGCTGAGTGGTTTGGCAGATAGCAATAATAAAAAGAAGGACCGCGATGCTGAAGATGGCGCCGGCGAAGGTGAAGAGAGCGAAGAAGAGGTTGATGAGGATGGCAATGTCAAGAAGAAGACGAAGAAGAAGGTAAGAAGCAGAAGCAGAAGCAATGGAAGAGTTATGAATATCCCCCTTCGTAGGCTAACCGGCTTGCCCTATCTTACAGGCACAGAGGTCATCCGAAGCAACACTAGCGCCGTCATTCGCCTCCCTGCAGCTCAAGAAATTCGAGCTTGAATTCGCCGTCGATCCCCTTTTCAAGAAGGCCTCTGCCGATTTCGACGAGGGAGGCGCCAAAGGTCTACTGCTTAACCACCTGATGATTGACTCGCAGGGCCGAATTGTCTTTGACAGTAGCGATGATACCGGTGATGCAGATGAAAAGAACAAAGAGAATCAAGGGGATGAGGACGAAGATGAGGTCGAGGTCGAAGCCGAGGCTGAAGAGGGGGAAAGGGAAAGGGATGGGGATGGGGATATAGATATGGAACACGACCAACGCAGCCATGTAGAGAAAGACCAACGCAAGAGTCAGGCCCAAGAGGAGGTGGATGATGCCGACATAGAGATTGACGTTTCAGCCCTCGGCCAGCGGTTCTTCCCCGACCTCGGCCTTCTGGATGAGCTTGATATTTGCCCGTCTCTAAAGAGTTTTGAGCTGGGCGACCCCTCCGGCTCTATGGACATTCCCTTCCTTAAGGCTCCGGAAGACTGGAGACAAGACCAGGAACACAAGAGCTCCGACACCCATGCGAATAAATCCGGCATATTCATCGATGAAGATGCCCCAGTCGGCTTTGACGACGACGACCTGGGCCTTGGCAACTTCGATACGCTTGGAGATGTTGCTTTCGGTGAAGGCGGTGAAGCCTGGGCCAAGGAGGCCGCTCTCGAACCTCAAATGCGTGTGTACGACGCTGGTATGACTAGCGAAGAAGGTGGAGAGGGAGAAGGCTTTGATGAAAACGGCGAGTATATCGTGTCCATGGCCAAGCCGGAAAATGCAGACAAGATGCATCAGGATATATTGAGCTTCTTCGACCAAGCTCTGCAGAAGAACTGGACTAGTGCCGAGCATTGGAGGATCCGCAAGATCAAAGATGTCAACAAGCCAGCAGGAGAGACAAAGAAGCGCAAGGAAAAGGAGCCATTCGAAATCGATTTCCTTTCGTCTCTCAGTCCCAGCCAGTCAGACGTCATCTACACACAAGCATCCAGCAACTCGGCTGTCTGCCTACCCAAAAAGGACTGGAAATCAAAATCTCGAAACTTACTTCCAGATGACAAGCATTTCAGTTCAAAGGTCTTACTGAATCTCTTCCTCAAACCCAAGGCTCGCCTGGCTTCAAAACGGACAGGGTTCGGCTCACGGAAAAGTGGCCAAGGCTATGGCTCTCAAGACGACGATCACCAGCCAGCAGGGGAGCTTGACGAGGCCTTTTGGGCACAGCAAAAGGCCCCAGAGGATGCTGCTCTACCAGAGGGCGATTACGATGCCAACTTCTTCCAAGACGACGATGGCCTGCCATTCCCTGGTGGCGATGACGGAGACGATGATGACCTTGAGTTTTCAGATGCCCGAGAACATCTTTCACCGGGTGCCGAAGGGGATGCGGGCATGACGGAAGGGGCTGTGACGGCTATGCTCAACGGGGAGACTATGAACACTATGGGCGCCTTTGGCACGCAGCTCATCACGCAAACGCGCCGTCTACGTCCTGAATATGTTCAGTATGCCAGAGTCGCAAAGAAGGTAGACGTGCGACGACTGAAGGAGGAACTCTGGAAGGGCATGGGCCTAGAAGAACTGGAGGTACGTATAGTTTTATTGATATCCATTTATTCGCGATACTGACAACCATGGGCTATAGAAATCTGCTGAGCCGCCAGAGCCATCAAACGGACCAAGGCAATCACCGCCCAATCCGGAGGATAATACCACTCTCAAGTTTACCGAGGTGATGAACTCACTACAATCGGTATATCCGAAGCCTGCCATGGCCGACATCTCCACATCGTATTGTTTCATTTGCCTGCTTCACTTGGCAAACGAAAAGGGTCTTGTGATTGAAAATACGGAGGGGCTGAGTGAGCTGGACATTCGAAAGGACTGGACTGCTGATCTGACAGAAGGCGCCGTGTGAAATTCGTTGTAATGCATAAATTAGACATGGAGGCGGGTGGCGTGGCTTATTTGAACTATACGTTTGGGGAGACGGCATGATGACTAGTTTGCGACTTGTAATGATTTACATGATGATTCCACATCTTTTATTACACTCCGTATTCTTATTACCAGTCAAGGCGCATGTTCGAGCTGTCTCAGTAGGTACCAAAGCTTCAGGTTATACAAAATACTAGGTACCTACAGGTTAGTAATAAAATACTCGCAAATACCTCTGAAGGTGGATCCAGGGGCATTAGGTACCTCTAAGAGCTCCTGCCTGCCTCGCACTTTCTGAACATTCACAATGGCAGCTGCCGGTGTATTAGTACTTACAGGTAGGTACTAAGGTAAAGAGGAGGGCACATGACTTCCATGTTGATCTCGGCTCAGAAATGTGCACAATCTCTTCCTCTTTGCATACCAAGGTCATCTCACCCACACATCTCAACGAACGACTTTGCGAATTTTCAACCCTCGGTCCCATTATCAATTTAATACTCAACGCCAGATAATATCCTGAAATCCCTACCATTGGCTCTCTTACTGAATGAATAATAAAGCAGAGCGCAGCAAATACTCTTCGCAGAAGCCATTTCCGTTCTCCCAACATGTTAGTCTTTAATGCCAGAAGCTCAAAAGAAAAGAGCAAAAGAGAAGAAAAGAAAAGAAAAGAAAAAGAACAAAATCCGTCACAATCCCCGAGGGCTTTTCCCTAAAAGCTTGGGTCCTATGGTAAACGACCAGAATCGACCTTTCCATCAACGCCAGCTTCCCGTCATCTCCCAAGTTTCCCAACCAGATCCATTTACAGTTCTCGGCCAAAGCGTGAGGAGCCACTTCCTACAATCGAGATGCAAGATGTAAGAAACGAAAAAAAGAAAAGAAAATTATGAAACCACATCTCCAACACAACAGATAAAATGAGAATAAAATGGTCATGGGTATATGAACAGAGCTTCGAAGATGCGCAAGACATCCGCGAACCAGGCAGGAAACAAAACCAGGCAGGAAATGAATGGAATCAAAACGACTTTCCACAATTTGCCTCCTGATGGCAGCTCCGTGTGATCACCATGATCAGCTACCCAGTACATGGTGGTTCAACCAAATTGGTGCCAAGGGAGAAGGGTCTTGGTCAAAAGATTGCCAATTCAAGTACGACCGTGATTGCCGAATATTTCACCAGCTTTTAATAAAGCATTCACCCCATCAAGCCCACCTACCTCAATGGTGTTGGAGCTAGAAAGCGGTGCATCGGCTGAAGTCATCAGCACGTCGCCATCGCTTGTCTCCTCGACTTTCATGTTTTGAAAGGCAGAGGAAGCTGTCTGGAATCCTTTTAACAACTCGTATTAGTTGCGTCTCTACAAAGACTTGTCAGTTCGAAAGGACTCGGTACCGTATCCCTTAGGACCCTGAAATTGTCCAAAGGCTGACCTCCCTCGCTCGACTGGACTAGCAACGTAGCTAGTCGTATACGACGGGCTCTCGTCTCTGTGGTGAGGAGTTTGATCATGGTCTGACAATAGTGCATGGATTGACAGATGACCATCGCTCAATTTACGACTAACTAGGCTTGACGTTGTCGGTACGCTGCTGCCACTGGAGGACGCCTCATGGTAGAGTGGCGGTACTGGAGCGAGTGGCAGCGAGTGTGTTCCGTGGGATACAGGCATTCTGGGGTTAGCTGTTGCAAAGCCATGCATAAACCCGGCATTCTCAGTCACCGGGCCGCTTGTTTTCCTTTGTCCGGGGGCCAACATATCCGCAAGTGGTGGTAAGTATGGCTGTGGTACATCGGCTTGGTGTGCTATTCCCCTTAATGACGAGGAGCCTCTTCGCAAATGGCTTGACTTGTTTTTCGCGGTCATGTCGACGTCAAAGTGTGTCGCCGCTGGAGATGGCATCGAGGCTACCGGAGAATGCTGCGAGTCCGAAGCAGACAAGATCGAGTTCCCACTGTTATGCCGAAGATTCGGGGGCTCTCGAGATTCACTTTCACGCATTCTCTCACTGCTGCTGCCACTGATAGTTGATGTTGAGCCACCCATCGCTGTGCTGCTGCCCACGGTGCTACTTCCGGCACTACTACTCCCGTGCAAGAGTTCATTCTTCTCCAGTCTTGCTCGTTTGGCATCCTCGTTGCCTAGTTTGGAATCAATCAGCTCCGGTTGGACAAGAGTGGTGAGAGGGAAATCAAAGAGTACACTGCTCCTTTCCAACAGCAGATACATACCTTGATTAGGTTTGGCTTGCTTCTCGTTGAATTCTTCGAGATATTCCAAATACTTGCGGTATTCGGGCGTCTCTTTGTAGACTGCCATCTCGCGGTAAAATCGCTCTTTGCTGGCTCTTGCCTGGGCTTCATATATCTCCCTCTCTTCTAATGGGAGGCTCTGCCAATTTTCTCCGACTAGCTTGGCTATTTCTGTGAACGAAAGACTGCGGTCTCCTTTCAAGTTTTCCCTCAACTCTGCGATAATCGATTAACAACTGCGTCCTGTTTTGCCCAACAGAGAGCAGCAGGGCACAATATCTGAAACTCACTATTTGAGAAGAGCACATATGCGGACATGGGTCGTTCAGGTGCATGCTCATCGGGCTAAGCACCGAGGTTAGCATATTCATTCTCGCCAGGACGCTTCTTCGCACAATTTTACCTTGGGATGTCGCCGATATTTGCGCTTCGGAACTATAATGCTATCTCCGCCTTGGCTAGGAGGCTCTCTCTTTTTATGAGCTCCATCAAGTTTTGGTTCCTCCGAGGTGGATTTTATGGATGAGAGTGAGATACTAGGATCGATTCCCCTTGCGTTGGCAATTCGCCGCTGAAGTTTCTGGGAGCGCATACGGTTAGCAATCTCCTGTTGCTTTCGGGTAATGGTTGTTATACATACTCTGCGATGGCCTAGCTTGACCCCTAAAGTATCACTAACACGACAGTTAGCCCTGCGGAGGCAAACAATCAACCTGATTTACCCACAGATCAGACTCTTGTATATCGAGAATGGTTTCCCAAGTATCAAAGCCTTGCTCCACAAACGTGTCGAGATACTGGACGATACCAAGCTCCCTGAAGATAGCCTCCAGCTCCTGGCTCATACGGCCGGGCTGCATTCTTGGACTCAGAGCTATGCGTTTTCTTGATGAAGTTATGATCCTGATGTTCTAACATTTAATTCTAGTAGTTGCGGAGACCCGAGGTTCGATTTCCGCGATCGATAAGGCGTGGGTGTAGTTGGTGAATGGTAATATGAATCGAGTGGTACGGCGGCGGATTGACAGCTTAGGATCCAGTACGGGCACGGGCTTTCTCGCGTAATAAATGTGCCCTTCGACAGAAAGTCGTGCTCGTCCTTGGGGGTTGTTATCGCAGTGAGCGTGGTCGATTAGCTGGGTTTGCAGGAAATGAGCTTGGCGTGGTGGCGTGCGAATGAATCGGCAAACAGTGGCAAACAACTTTCTGTCAGGATTTACCATGGATTGCGGGATCGAAAAGAGATGAAAGGACCCAAAGCATCAAGTGAATTCTTCATTTATCAGGCTAAGATGTCAAGTTCTAGCCAATGAAGTGGTTAAGGTATGATAACCCTTGTCAATGTTTGTCAAGTTGAGAGAACTGTGGCCAATCTCGACCGATGACACAAGCCTGCCGGAAAGAACAGCTCGAAGCCAGCACGCCCGCGAGAGAGTACGGGCGTACGACTTGGAAGACTTGATATTAAGAGCAAAGGCGAGAATTAAGCGAGCTATATCCAGCAAGCTTCGCCACCCTAAGTGGCAGAATCGATCATCTCGATCTGCGACAGCAGGGCAATCAACGGGATGGGACACTTGAGACGTCGGTCCAAATGACACTCGGGCGAGTGGGAAAACAAAGACCAAGGGCGCCTCGGCTGCTCTCAGATGTCAAGACTGGGAATAAATGACTCTCTTCCTGCCAAATGATACAATAAAGGCGGCAACAAGTGGCCAATGGCCTTCCGGAAACGCGTAAGCGGAGATCGCAATGAGGAGAGAAATCGAGATTGGTCGTTAAAGATGAAAAGATACAACCATGTCCGGACACTCTCACGGCATTACAGACATGGGACTGGTTAAGGTTCGGTATGTACAGAGTACGGAGCCGGTGCTATGATGGCTACTCTGCTTGTCAGCACCTCTCCTTGAACGCAATGGCAAGGTTTTTCAACAGGCTCCACGGCACTGTACGTATGGATGTACCCTTTTTTTTCTTCTTCTTCCGTCTTCCTCTTCTTCCGCCGTGGGCCCCAGAACCAACAAAAGGTTATCCAACTTGGCTAGGGTTGAGCAAATGGGGGGGTAGGCAGAGAGAGTTGGGGGAAGAAATTTTGTTATGGGGAAAGGAAACCAAAAAGAAAAAGGTACGGGACCCCCCATGCAAAAGAGAGAAACGGCACGGGATTTGGGATGGAAAAGAAAGGGAGGGACGACGTACTGGGGCCTCTCACTGCGCCTTTGCACAGGATGCATTAAGTGCAGGGCATGCCGAGGGTAGGCGTGCCGCTATCAGAGAACCTGGTCTGTACTCGTACCTCTCCAGGGCCGAGTCGAAACCGACGACACGGTGATGAAGGCAAGCGTTGTTCGATCAGGACCACTAAATGACGGCTAGGGGAAATCGGCAGCGAAGTGAGGGATCGGAACTGGGAGCTGTTCTCCACGAGCGGCTACTGCAAGCAGACCAACAAGACGGGACCACAGTGTTTTTGACTAGCAGCCCTAGCTGGGGGGAACACCCAAAGCTGGCGTAACGACACGAGATGTTGGCAGAGGAGCCCATAGTATTTTGGTCTCACGCAGCTACAAATACGGCACAAGTGAGGAGCCGTGACGAGGGTGGATGTAACCCAGAATGGAGGCGTCAGAGGGTGCTACAGCTAACAACTAATTAACCCGAGCATGAACTCCAACGGCCAGCAGCTAATAGGGCCGAGGTGCCTATCTCCATCAAGATCGAAGAAAGCTTGACACAACACCACCTGTGCATATGCTGCCTGTCTAGCTGTGCAAGTGGAACATCTAAAGACAGGGTATGAGTGAGCTTCTTTGAGACCTGGTACTACGAGTACTACACTACAGAGCAATGCTGCAGAGGGCCGTCATCAATCATGAGATGGGCGTCTGTACTTTGTCCCAAGTACAGATCTTTACGGTCCCAGAAGAACTGTGCTCACAGTTGCTCCCTGTTTCGTTATAAAAGGAAACAAGGGCAAATGCCGTACTGCGAATAAGTGCTCGCTTGTACAGGTAAGTACGAGTGTGCTTGCAAGGCCGCAGCAGGGCAAAAAGCAGGGCCTTGATCCAGGCGGCTCTTGGTACCACAAAGTCGGCCCACTACCAGATGCTCCCCCAGCCCGTCCCGTCCATACGAGCCACAAGTAATCGTATGCCATCTACGGGACATTCAAAGTGCGATGAGACGAGCTGAAAAGAGAGCTAACGAAGGGGCTACATAGGCAGGGGATCAAAAGGATTACAAGTACCTATCAAATGTCTCTTTGTCTCCTTTGGGACTCGGTTTCATGCTTATTGGCGCCGCGAGCCGCTGAACGTTCCAACTCTACTCCTTCCGGCAGACGGAATACCACCTCCATTTACGAGATATTGCACCTCCTCCTTCCTCCAACAGCGCCGCTTAGCTGAGACCGAGAATGGCACTTGTGCTTACTCTGGAGGGGGAAAGGGGGCGAGAAGAAAAAGCAACGACACGACATGGTTCATCAGTTGAGAAGCTAAACTAGCTTGGCTACAAGGTTAGGCCCCTCCGGCGCCGCAAGCCAATCCGCAACAGACTCACATGTAGGGTTGGGGCGGCGGGCTGCAATTCGGGTGACTGGCTGTCGTCGGATCATGGCATTGGCCCTGAACGGCCAGCGATCTCGATCCCTGAAGTTGTTTGGGCTCGTGGCTCAAGTCCAGTGGATAGCTAGGCAAGGAAAAGAGTGGAGGGCGACCGCGGATTGGGCCAGGCACCGGGTGAGTCGATGGAGGCGACAAAGTGTCCTATCACAGCCGCAGCTCAGTGCTACGTCACAAACGCCGGGGCGTCGCGTTTGGAACTTGGCCCCATGCCGGCACTACGAGGGAACTAATCAGGACGGCGAGCCCTTGCGCGGAGCGCTGTGAATCTGGCTGGAACCTGGGAATCGGATTGGGGTCACGCCACTATGGGTGTGTCAAGGTCAGACGCTTCTCCTTACTTTTCCCCCCTACGACGAGGATTACCACTTGAAGGCCTGCGCGGGCATCCAAGACCCTGTACTGCAGAGCGGATCAAGAGAGCAAGGGGTGAGAGCAAAGGAGGCGAATGAGAGCATCGGGAGAAAAAAAAGAAAGAAGAAGAAGAGAGAAAAAAAGAGTCGCCGGCAGCTGTCTCAAACGAATACAAGCTCCAAGACAAACCAGTTTTACCGGAAAGATAAGGTAGGCTTTGCTAAAATGGGGCAGCGGTACATACATTCCCGCCACGGATAGCGACTACGGCCACGTTGCTGAGAAGGGAGAAAACACGACCCGAGCCCTTTTGATACATATCCATCTTTGGAAATCAAGAGCGAACTGGGCTGAAGGGAAGAGGGTTGGGGATCAATCGTTTTGCGATTGCAGGTCAGAAATCAGCTCTTTGTGCCGCACAAATCGGTGAGGAGTCGCCTTACCGCAGCAGAAATATCCATCCACAGACCCAAGTCAGGACCATGCAAGCCCACACCTCCAGAAGGGCACACATTTTCCAAGGCCGGCACCCATAGGTATGGGAAACTGCGTAAAATGGGACAAGAAAAGATGGAGATCTCGATCCCGTCGAGGTGGTTCCCCTTCCATGAATCAGGCCGTCCATCTATGCTTCGATTTTACATGCCGGGGGCACACACCAATGAGTAATGGGCGGAGGTTCGGGCCAGTGCGTGGATTCACTGATCACCATCTGTCGTCAACTTGTGCTCAACGGTTGTCACCACATAGCGAGCGAGGCACGGAGCCATTGGTAAAACGGGCAAAATCTCACGGCTCCGCCTAACACAGTTGATCAGCAGCCATGCCATGCTACTGTACTTCGGCTTCCCAAGCAAGCTATATTGATACCCACAGTATGAAGTACCAGAAACGGACGTTGGCATATCTTTAAAGAGCTCTCTACCCGTCTCTTTTGTTCGACTCTGGCGGTAGATCGGTCGATTGAGCAAGCCGGATGATCCACTCTGGAGAGAATTCCGCGCCAAACCAAAAATACATGATGTCAGAATACTACAAGTCCAAGACGGCTCACATCTCGATTCACATGTACGAAGTAACTAACTATCTGGACGATCAGCGTCGTTTTGTACGTGAGGGGGTTTCCCGTTTCCCCTCTCGTGTTGCAAAGTTTTGTCCAGCAAGGCCAATCTCCGGTGAATGGCGCGAAATGGACACCTCAACGGCATCATCTCCGTTGCCCTCGTGGGAATACGGTCGAGCTTCCAACGCCTCCATCCGAGGTGATCCCGTTCCTTTTTTTTTCATGCCCATCTTCTGCGTTTTGGAACGAGGCACGGCACTGTAAATGCGTGCTGAATGCCAGAGCAACAGCCAATGGCGGCCGACTGCGGGTTTTTAGAATCTAGACTCGCCGAACCTGCATGGGAGGGGGCGTGTCTGAAGCTTAACAGGGTGCTAACACTTTTAGTTGCTCAGACTAGTAATACTCTAGGCACGGCGCACCAGAAGCTGGCACCTCCTCACCCAAGCCACCCGCTCGAGAGGGACAGCGGCTTCAACGCACTTCATCAGACGAGTTTGGTATCTCAATGTTGAGAGTTGGCCTTGTATGTACTCGCCCAGGTTGATAGGGGAGTCCCTTTGGGTGATGGCTCTACCACTCTGGACTCCGTATTCGAAAAGCTACGGAATAAATGAGGAAGCTTGAGCTATGTAGGCCCGTCAAAGACTCTGGCAAAGGAGATGTTGAAAGGCTGGCCAAGCTCGCTTCCGATCCGCTCCCCGGGAAAAGGGACTGAGACTCTTGTCTCTTGTCTCTTGTCTCTTGTCCCTCTTGCGGCCGTCCGAGGCAGTGACAGGAACAACACTCTTGCGTCGAACGGGTCACGATGGTGGAGAGATGAGATGAAGCCAGGCTCTTTTGGACATGCGCCGCACAACGGATAGCCCGACAAGAGATGGCTAAATATAAGAAGGCGGGTCATCCCAATGGAGGAATTTGATATATAAATCCCGGTGGAGAGCGACGCCCTCTTGGTTTGGTAGGTATCCCATCACGATGGCACATTGGCGGCGGCGGCAGCAGCAGCAGCAGCAGCACAGCACAGCACATTGCATGATGGAGTCGAGTCCCGTCTGCCGAGCCAATGGCCCTGTTAGCCGGACTCTGGACGCCTTGCAAAAGGGCAGAAGCGCCCGTAGGAGAGCTGCAAGTTGGTGACAATTTCACTATTCCCACACGGGCAGCACTTGAGCATCCATGCTGACGGAACGGCTTCCGTCTGCAACCCCTTGGAGCGTCAATTGGTCGTGGCGCAAAGCTGAAAAAGCTGATGTGTGTGCTCGGCACCAAGGATCCTTGTTGCCAGTGGCAGTAGCAATGTCACCTCTTGTTCCGAGACGCGAGGGGGAACGAGAGCGCTGAGTTGTCGTGTTTTTGATATGTGAGTTGGCGATGCATCTTGGTATGAAGCACATACAGCTTGCAGCGTGCATGTACTGTAGCGAACACGAACCGTAAGCTCACCAAAAGGACTAGATGAGTAGTAGCAGTAGTTTGATTACTGGTCATTAATGATGGGTTGCTGCTGTGCTGTGCTGTCCTGTAGCATCGTACACTAAACTATACAGAGGATGGACAAGACAAGACGAACAAGAAAAAGAAAAGAGAGAGAAATCAAGGCGGTGGGCGTATCCTCTTTGTTCTGTCGATGGAGTTGTTGTTATAAGACATTTGGTGACCATGAGCTACAGTGAGAGACCTACAGAGGTACAGGGGGGTACATTCAGGTCAGGTACTGCACCCAGCTGTGTGTACCTCCAGTATTCGTAACCCACTGGGAAGAGGTACCTTGCTCGAGGCCCGCATCACGTGAGCCTTCCAGGTACAACGGCAGCCAGCCAGCATCATGTACCCGATACGGAGCATTGAATTGCACTCCGCGATGCGATAACTGCTCAGCCTTGCAGCTTTTCGTTGACGCAGACGCAAGCAAGGCATATCATATCGACTACCTAATCATCTTGCATCTTCCTCTTTTCCAAGGAACAAGGACATCTATATCTCTCGAGAGTCCCCCAAAAGACCATGGCTGCGTCATCGGAGGCAAACTCAAGTAAGCCGGATCAGGCCGAGGCTGCTCCCGAGGTTGATCTCGCTCAGGCATGTTCCATCACGATACATCACTCGTATTCGTCTTTTGGACTTTTATTCTAACCAAGAATTCCCATGTTTCCAGGCCCTTAGAGAGCTCGCTAGGTAAAGACACTCTGAAAACTCTCCCCATCATCATACATCTCTTTCAACAACAGTTCATCTCATTTCACCTTTATCCCTGCCACAACTACACCAAGTCACCCTACCCTTCCTCTCCTCTAACACACATAAAATCAACTTGTTCTCATCAAATAATAACACGACCCTGACTTTCTCTCCCTACAGAGGCGAGCAAACCGCCACGGCAATGGAGGCCAACCTAACCAACCTCGAAAGCAAGCTCGACGCCATCCTCGCTGCTTTCGACGACATCGAGCGAGAAAGGGGGCCCAAGGGCACGGAAAAGGTCGATGGAGAGGGTAAAGCGGCTGAAAAGTAAGATTTATAGTTCTTTGTAGGTTTCACTTAAGTTTTTTTTTTCAGGCGGGATTACGACGTTGGTTGAATACCTAATGGCACTCCACATCCTCATGTATACGAAACGAACCTGTATAATTAGCACCTAGTAGTACTACATCACTAGACGCCAGAGTTACACGTCCAACGCATCAAAAAAAATTTCATTCATATCCAAGAGAAATCGAGCAATACGAAAGAGCCATCGTCTCCAAGGACAAGAGAACAATGGCAAGTCTTTTTAACGTCGCTAAAAAAGGTCAGGAAAACTAGGCAAAAACTCCACTCAACACGTATAAAGAAAGAAAAGGCATAACTCTGTAAAAAGCAATAAGGAATAAAATCTCTTTCTCTTTCTCTTATCCACGTTTCCATCCTATTTCTTCCAATTTCAGGCGTCTCCCCCGCCACCAACCCGCCTCCGTGTGTGTGTGTGTGTGTCCATTTACCCTCAATCCTTGAAAAGGGGAACCGTCTTCAGTTTCGTTTCACATCGTGCCATCAACGATTGTTGTTGGAAAGAGTCCAGATCCGCAGCTTGCATTTTTTAAGAAAAATGGAACAAGGGGGATAACAGAAACCCAAGAAAAATACACACCCATTCCTCCGCACCAAACGATGAGAAAGACCGATTCTTTCGCTATGCCATTTCATCCACGTAATTCCATGATAAACCCTACGTACTATTGCCACTGCAATATGCCAGCAGACCCCCCTATCCGTTACTGGGAAAAGGAAAAAGGGAAGAAAAAAAAGAGTCCATGCGAATATAGAGCAAAAGGAAAGCAAGTATAAGAGACGGGGACGAGGGACAAAAAGATATAAAAGATACCATGATGGTAAAATACACCAAAAACAGAGAGCCAAAGGGAAATTAGGGAAGTTAATACTGAACCAAAATAAACAGGACAAGACCGTTGCGTCTTTTTTTCTCGTCCAACATGATATCAACACCGTATTCGCCAGGTAGGTTGAAGAGGGGGGAGAGCATATTGATAAAATCCCAAAAACAGCAGTCATGCTCTGAAAGAAAGAACACTATGGCCAAACAAGAAAAAGAGTACTGGGAATCCGACATGATCAACATGGTCCTCATAAATTCATGTCAAGCGGCAGACTCGTAGACTTGATAAGACGCGCTCTCGGACTAATCCAAGCGCAGCGTCCATCTTGGGCCATGCCGTCCCAAGCAAGGGTCGTACTCTCTTTAGCTCGAGAGGCTTCGTCTATCAGCAAGTTCCTCGCGTGCTTTTGAAAACGTATCCTCTTCCTCTAGGTCATCCAGCTCCTCTATCAAATCGGTACCATACTCAGATAGATCGTTGAATCTTAGGCCAGCATTGGCTGCTGCCGCGTTTCGCGCCTCTTCCAGTGCTTTGCTGGACGCTTTGGTGAGCGATGGCCTGTTCTTGGTCATGGGCTCCCTGGTGGTAAACGATCTGCCCTCGAGGCTTGGGCGCAACATGCCCCTTTCGCCTTCCAGGCGTCCGGATGCCTTGGCTTCCGCTTGCAGCGCCAATTCTCGCTCACGGTTCTTCTCTAGCAGCGCACCTCCAAGGGTGGCGCACTTGAGAATAGTTTGGATGAGCTGGTTCTGCTGCAAGGGCTTGGACAGGTACTCGTCCATCTGGGCTTGGATACACTTTTCGCGATCACCCATCATAGCGTGGGCTGTAAGAGCAATGATGGGAGTTCTGTGTGTTCCCATGCCACGCTCGTATTCACGGATCTTGCCGGTGGCCTCAAATCCTCCCTGTTTGAAAAGAGTTAGTTCATGGCAGCAGTTTGGATAGGTTGTGCGCCAGGTTTACTACTTACCATGATGGGCATCTGAACATCCATTAGAATCACATCAAACTTCTTCTGCTTCACGGCTTCAACAGCCTCCCAGCCGTTGCCCACAACGGTGACAACATGGTGGTATTTTTCAAGAATCTTCACGGCCAGTTTCTGGTTGACCGTGTTGTCCTCAGCGAGGAGGATCTCAAACGACTTGGTAACGTCCGCGAGAGATGGTGTGGCTCTGTTCTCCAGGGCGGGGATCATGCCGTTGCTCAGGTCAATCAGCTTGCAAGGCATTGTCATGTAAGACGTGATACCCAGGTCCAGACAGGACTTCAAGCTAACGTGAACCACGGGGGCTAACAGGACAATAGGGAGGTACTTAAAGTCATCTACCGCTCTCAATCTCCTAGCAGTATCAATTGAGTCAACGATGATGGCGTCATATGGCAAAGCGCCGCCCTCCTTAAGGCGAGTAAGAGCCGAGCTCTTTTCGGAATTAACGACAACGGGGTGCAGCCCGATCTCTTCCAGCATTTCTCCAATGTGTGTGGCCGCGTTTGACTGCGACTTGTCGACAAAGAGGACCTGGTGGCCGCGGTAAGGCTTCAGTTGCTGCTGAACGCTTTCTGCGTGCACATCGGCAAGCTTCACGCGACAAGTAAAGTGGAATTCGCTGCCCTTGCCAACCTCGCTGTTAACCCAAAGGTCTCCGCCCATGAGGTTGACGAATCGCTTCGAGATGGACAAGCCGAGACCCGTTCCACCAAACTTGCGTGTCATTGAACCATCGGCCTGCTGGAAAGTGTCGAAGATGAGGTTGAGCTTGTCCTTAGCAATGCCAATTCCCGTGTCCTCCACGATGAATTCAATGGCATACTCTCCAGGACCCACGTGCCTCTTATCCTCCTGTTCTTGAATAGTTAAGCTGACCTCGCCGTGCTCGGTGAACTTGATGGCATTGCCCACGAGGTTGAGGATGATCTGCCTCAGACGGAAAGAATCTCCGATGACGTAGTCAGGCACGGAGCTGTCTACCTTATAGGTAAGATCAAGGAACTTCTCGTTCGCCTTGACTGCGAGAGTCTTTAGTGCATTAAAGACTGTGCCTCGCAGCGTATACGGAATTTCTTCAATAACCATTCTCCTAGCTTCAATCTTCGACAGATCCAGGATATCGTCAATGATGGTCAACAGGCTGTTGGCGAGATCATTGACAATGTTTAGCATTTCTCGCTGGTATTGGGTCAAGTCGGTGTCCAGAGTGAGCTGCGTCATTCCAATAATACCGTTCATCGGAGTTCGAATCTCGTGGGACATGTTTGCGAGGAATTCTGACTTGGTCTTGTTGGCTAATTCGGCAGCTTCTCGAGCCTGCGTGTTCCTCTGGATACTGTCTCTCAGATTTGATATCATCTGGTTAATCTTCTTCTTGAGCTCGTCCATTTCGCCAGAGGCCTCCACGTCGACAAGCTTGGTGAAGTCGCCGTCCGTAGCCAAGTTTGTGATATCAGAGAAGGCACGCACTTGAGTAGTCTAAAGCATGTGTTAGCACTTGGAACCTTCGAGGGAGAGTGTGGGAAATTTGCAGTCGCTCAGCGAGTGCAGAGGCGGCGGGCTTACCAAGTTGCTAGCCATGGTGTTGACATCAGTAGTGATTTCTTTCCATCGTCCATTTAGCCCAGCTACATCGGCTTGAGCTCCCATCTTGCCATCGACACCGACATCTTTGGCAACTCGTTGCACTTCATAACAGAAGCTTGACAAGCGGGACACCATGTTGTTGATGGTCTCTTTCAGCACCTGTATCTCACCATTTGCCTCTACATCGATTGTTTGACTCATGTCTCCGTTGGCAATGGCCTGTGTGACAGCAGAGATACTTCGCACCTAGAACACAGTTAGCTTATGAACACAAGTCGCAATCGCTCAAGAGAACGATTGGAGTTAGGGGAGAAGTGACATGACATACCTGGACAGTGAGATTCGACGCCATTGTGTTGACATTTTCAGTTAGATCCTTCCACTTGCCCTCAACATTGGCCACTTGGGCCTGGCCACCAAGCGTACCATCTGTACCGACTTCTCGGGCCACTTTGCTCACTTCAACGGCAAATGTGCCCAGGCGGTCAACCATCTGGTTGATGGTGTTCTTGAGTTCCAAAATTTCTCCCTTGACTTCGACTCCAATCTTCTTGGTAAGATCACCCCTGGCGACAGCCGTGGTAACCTTGGCAATCTCTCGCACTTGTGTCGTCAGATTCATGGCCATGCCGTTGACGTTTTCAGTAAGATCTCTCCATGTGCCTTCAACATCATGAACAGTGGCCTGACCACCAAGACGACCTTCAGTTCCGACTTCTCTGGCAATCTTTGTAACTTCGCGAGCGAATTGCTGCAGCTGATCAACCATGGAGTTGATGGTAGACTTGAGCTTGAACATTTCTCCTCTGCATTCGGCTTGGACTTTTTGTGTGAGGTCTCCCTTGGCGACAGCTGTAGTGACCTTAATAATATCTCGCACCTGGGTCGTCAAGTTGTTCGCCATGGCATTGACGTTTACAGTCAGATCATTCCACATGCCCTTGACCCCGCCAACATCAGCTTGACCACCTAAGATACCCTCGGTTCCGACATCTCTTGCTACGCGCGTGACTTCAGATGCAAATGTTCGAAGTTGATCCACCATGGTGTTGATGGTTTGCTGCAACTGCAAGATCTCTCCTCTTGCTGGTCGTTCAATCTTCTTTGTCAAGTCGCCGTGAGCGACAGCTGTTGTGACGGAGGCGATTTCTCGCACTAGGTGGCATTGTGTTAGATAAATCACATGCAGGCATTGTACTCAAACATCCTATTTTGCTCGACCCAAAAGTCGTTTAGGGAGCAAATAAGACGGTAGGAAGAAAAGGGGGGAGCAGGAAGAGGACAGAGAAGAAGAAAAACGCAAGTCTCGCTATACATACCTTGATCCGTGAGATTTTGTGCCATTACGTTGACTATCAAAAAATTGTCAGCTGTTGTTGACCACGATCTTGAGTGCAGCAGGGGAGAGAAGAGTGAGAAAAAAAAAGAAAAGCAGATTAGGGCCATACCATTGTCTGTCAACTCTTTCCATACACCGTCAACACCACCAATACGGGCTTGGCCGCCCAGGAGACCCTCTGTTCCGACCTCGCGAGCGACACGAGACACTTCGCTGGCAAAGGTCTGCAGCTGGTCCATCATGGCGTTGATGGTGCGCTTAAAGGTTGTGATTTCGGGGTCCATTTCGACGGAGTTCATGCGGACCTTCATGGTCAGGTCACCGCGAGCGACGGCAGTGACAATCTCACCAATCTCTCGGAGGGCCTTTTGGAAGGCCTCGTTGGCTTTCTGATGCTTCCACAGCTCTCGTTCGAGCGTGGCTACCCGCTCCAGCTCGATCATCTGGAGGGCACGCTCCTGGAGCTGTTTCTGTTCTAATAACTGCGCGTTGACGCCAGCGAGTTCCTGGCGTTGACTGTCTAGGAGCTTGGACTGGTCGTCAACATGATCGCGCAGTCCTTGCAGCGCTTCCTTGGTCAGCTGGCGGGATACAAAAATCGGACTGTCCAAGCTACCTTGTTGAGCCTGGGACAACCGTGGCTGGGGGGCCACAGGGGGGGCGCCGTTTTCAACCTCATCGTTGAATAGTGTGTCGTTGACTTCGTTGGGCGTCTCCGGGAAGACGGCCGTGGCCGAGACGGAGGCTCTGCTCTCCAGCTGAGAAATGCGTAGGGCGAGCTTCTCCAGCTCAATCTCCAGGGCCCGTTTCTGGGGGTTCTCCTGGCCCGGTAGCTTGATGCTGGAGCCGGGCCCTACTGATATCGGCGTGGAAGTAGAGGTAGGGTCGCAGGCGAGCGAGGCGATGAGCTCTGCGGCCGCAGCGAGTGCCGCCGTATCTTGGAGCATGCCGGGCGCTGGGGGGTTCCCCAGAGAGGGGAGAAAAGAGGAAATATCGCGGAGGCTGCGAAGCGATGGGCGGGGAGGGACAAGGATAATAAAGACGGGGAGTAGGAGAGAAGTTGGTCGAGATAATATAAAGAGTAGGGAATAAAATCGAGGAGGAAGAGGCCCTGCTTTTTTTTTGGTCTTCGGCGGCGGGGAACTGCGGCAGCTCGGCGGGCGAGGTCGAGGTCAAAGGCGCCGGGACCTGGGAACTCGGTCGAGTAAGCGATGAATCAAGGGCGTGCCAGAGTCATTCGAAGCAATGAGGGCGAGGAAGAGGATTTGCAGAAGCTGGGATGACTCGGATCCGACAAGAGGGCGAGAGGACAGCAAGAGGAAGAGGAAGAGGAACAAGAGCAAGAAGAGCAGAGCAGAGCAGGGGACAGCGAGCAGGGACAGGGACAAGAACAAGCGCAAGAGGGACACTCTGCCCGTCTGATTGATGGTTGTCGCGGGGGGCCACGCAGAGGCGACGGGAGCGCAACACAGACAGACGTCAAAGGGGTGGAAGAGTTGAGATTCGGAAGAAAAATACTAACGTAGGAGATTCCAGAGGAGTTTGGACTGCACCACCGCCCGGTGCAAAATGGTCTCGAGGTGAAGAGATGGGGAGGAGAAGACTAGATCTGGGCGGACAGGGGGACAGTTGGAAAAGAAGAGGAGTATATTTCCATCAGCAGGTACCGGCGAAGTAGCAGGTACAATTAGCTCTGGCTCTGGTTGGGGGGGGCTGCGGTACTAAAAGGTATAGCCGCTGGACTGAGTCGTTCTGGGACTCGGGCTGTACTCCGTAGTCGTCTAGGGAGGGCAAAAGCTGGAGAGAGAGAGAGAGAATCGGGGAGGACATGCAACATACAACATGCACATCAATACCACGAATGAACCTGAACCCTTCCAAGTCCCTGCGCCGGCCCAAGACACACTGACCAACCGCCGTCTCAGAAAGTACAGACAAAAAGTTAGAAGTATTACGATGATCGTCCGGTCTGTGCAACTCCCTTTGGCCCTCTAAAAAGTGCGACTGCGGCCTCAGTGTGCCTCAAGTTGTTAGTGCCCTTCAAGTCTGGGAACATGAGCAGCACTAAAAAGCCTCTGAGCCTCGTACCGGTATACGGTACCCAGTACCTCAGTTGGTACTCTTTTAGCGGCATCTTGCGCGGAGAGATTGTGTGGCGCTGTGGGCGGCTGCTTTTGGGCGCTTTTTTCCCTTGCATATTCGTGCAGGATCAGGCCGTCCGCTACCTACACGGGAGTACTCTGTACAATATAGGCCTATGTGCCTTTACCTTACCAAACCTGACGTTGCTTGTACCGGATTTGAAATCGCCCAGGCACCGCTACTACGAGTACGAGTACTATGACTTGTAAGTCCGGCTTTTGGAGGCTCTGTGTCAAGGATATGCCTGCAAGGATATACAGCAGATACAAGTCCGGACCATGTCGGTACGAGTACTGACTGGTAGGCGTTTTGAGCAGACGGCAAGCAAACCATGCTCCTCCAAGAAAGGCTGGGGTTTCTATCCTAGTCTTTGGCCTCAGCGGCACGTGGATCGTCCTTTTTTTTTTCCCTTCCTATCGCTTTCGCGCTTCGCCTTCTCTCGAGACATGGCGGGAAAAAGAAGAAGAAGAAAAGGGCAGAGAGAACGGGAAATAGCAGATGCAGGTCAGCAGGATGCGATGGGGTGCAGATGCAGAACGTTGCAGCCAGTGGCCGGTCTGGATTTACACAGATGAGACAAAAAAGCATGGTCTGATCTGGGCAGAAATGCAAGGCCATGATCGGCCAAAGGAGGAGAAACCACTACCCCCCAATGGCTCCAGGAGCGGTCATGTCAAGACGGCACGCTACGAGATGGACTAGCCAGACAGGGAGAAAAGGCCTTTGCAGTGGTCCAAGAAAGCTAGGAAAGGATTCAAGCCCTTCTCACCGTGAGAATACCGACCGAGCTGGCTGGTCTCCCCATAAAAGCCGCTCTGGCGTCAATCTTGAACGTGGCGGCAGCACTGCTTTGCTAATAATGGGCCGGTATCCGTGCATTGGTAACTACTCGTAATCCTGTGAATAGATACGGAGTAGATTAGGTATTACAAGTAGACATCTGTTCTCGTCTTGTCTAGCTACCTTAGTCTTTATCCGTTTTCCTTCTCCTTTCTCAAGATTCCTCTTCTTTTCCTAGTCTTATCGAATTTGCCACCCGGACCATTCTGCCGCTTGCATCGGCATGGGTGATGGCTCACAAAGCGGGTGGGAAAATAAAAAGAAAAAATTGGAAAAAAAAATTGGAAAAAAAAAAGCAAAGAATGGCCGGGAGAGGCAGCAACCCAAGAGCTGTCGGATAAGATCCTATTAGCTGCGACCAGTGCCAAAATGGACGGTGTGTGTCATTGGCGCCGTGGTCTGAGATTTGCATTGAGCTTCCCATCTCCATCTCTCCCTTGCTTCAGCCCAACCACCCCGTCTGCTAATCAGGTGCCAGCATAGACGCCATGGCACGGCTCTAATGCCCGCGAGCTATCCTTTCTGCCGCTCCTTCGACGTCGGAGGCACGAGGCTCGTATTTTGGGGCCTTGTCAGCCGTTGGAAGCGTTTGGCCGTTCAGACAGTGTCTCGACCCTTTTTCGCCTTTCTGACGTGAGGAGGTGGCCGAACTAACAAGAGCTGGGCCTCATAGGGGGGCCATCGAGATCCGATGTCTTTCAATAAGGCCGAGGGTGTTGCAGCTGCCTAAACATGCCGCGGGCCGCCAGAAACACTTTGGCCTTTTGCCCATCCGCACTCCGTACTGTACAGTCTGTACCTATCTGGACGTTGTTTGCCATCCAACACGACGTCCTAGCTGGAGATGGGCTGGTCGACCTACGCTATTAGTGACCTAGTTAGTGCCCAACTGTTGCGATCTTTAGGGAAGAAGCTGTGCTGCTTTGAATCAGGCATGTGGAACCAGCTATCACAGCTACACGGAGGCCTGTTTGAGTGAGGTACTTAGTACTGCGCTGTACCTGTAATTAGACCGTGCTGGAGTGCCTCGAGCGTTTTCAACGTTGCATGTACTTGAGGAGAGACAGTCATTGTCGTCTCTCTCAAAACAGTACAAAGCTACCTTGCATGTAACTGATTGTGCCTGGTACCTGCGTCTTTCTTTTTTTTTTTTTGTCTTTATGCCTTTATTTATTTGCTTTTTCTCTTTATCTTTTCTTTTGTTCCATCTTCTTAACCTTCTACCTACTAAGTATATAACTTCCTTTTCGAGCACACTCTCCGTACTTATTCACGCATGGCTAAATACGTCACCGATACCAAGAGATTCAGAGACACAGAACCCGCCAAGCATGAAAAAGCACAATTGCAAGCCAAAGAATAACACAGAATGAGACATCAGTCAAAACAAACAATACAGATACAGCGCTCATTCATCAAGCAACCAAGTACAAGTACCAGTACCAGTACCAGTACAATGTACGGAATACGGATTACGGAGCACCAGAGTCGCGCTGTCTCCGTTCTTTTGTGGAGAGGCCCGCCACAGACGTCATCCAAGCCAGGTAGTAGCTAGTCAAACTAATGAAGGTGCCGCAACAATAGCGGCGGAGAGGGAAGGAAAGACCCAAGACCAGTTGAGACCCTTTGACCGTCACGTCAATCGCCAGCCAAGATGCCGCAAGGGACTCGCTGACAAGTATGGAATAGCGCGCGTTTTGTATGGCGGGCTTGCTTTTTTTTGCTCATTTGTTTATTTTATTTTACTTTTCATTTTGTTTTTGCGCCTTTTTCTTGTGGTCCTACAGGGTAGGGATTCCAGGCCTAGAACCGCCCAGAGCTGCGTCTTTCTTTGTCTCTCACCAGACTCATACCTAAGATACCTATGAAATCCATCATGTACTGTATGTGCAGGTACAGTAGAATGACGGCAACGAAATGTCAAAATTGCAGGGCAATCAGCACGTGCCTTGGACCCTTTTTTGTGCTAACGTTAGGCAGTGATGGAATCCGGGGCGCGTTGATGGAGATGCTCGACGGGTTTCTCCATTGGCTCGCCCAAAAGTCCTCACGTTGGAGGGCTCAGTGTCGATCACCACCAAATAAACGCAGAGCCCGTGTTTCATTAACCCGCGACCCAGACCAATAACTCTCAGCCCCCAGACGGCCAGCGCTGATCATGCGGGTTCCCGAAGGATGATGTTTGCTAGACAACCCTTGAAAATGAATTACCTTAGTCGGGGGTAGTAAGAGCCCGGAGAGCTTGTCCCGTCGTTTTAGATGTGGCCTTTTTTCCCACATGGGTGAATATCAGATGCACGACTAAACAAGGTAGTAACAAGGTATAGTACTCGTAGTCTGCCGTTGCAAATTATCATTGACCTGTCTGTCCTACTGTACAGCACCCCAGGCGCTGAATCTCCCCCCGCCTGACAGGCAAGGGTCTTTGTCAGGTTTCTTTTCCCGCTGGCCCTCTTCCTCTTCCCTGCCTTCCACTCCATGCACATACAGTACATGTACATACGTACAGGCAAAGCTGAACATGCAGCTCATTGGCCCTTGGCATCAGGCAGGCCGCATCTTCGGGCCCGATGCCGAAATCGCCGGTACTTACTCGTACAGTACATGCGAAAATGCCTGCGTTTGATGTCGGGCTTTTGGGCGCGGAAAAAAAAGAAGAAGGAAAAAGAAAAGTGCTGACGAGGACCGGGACTAAGACACTATAGTAGTACCAACTAACCCTCGCAACGGCTGCGCATGACCACAGCATAGATGCCTGTACACTTACAAAAAAGGAAAAGGAAAAGAAAATGAGGGGGAGGGAAATGGGAAAAAAAAGGAAAGGCAAAGTTGGGGGAAGAAAAAGAAAAGAAAATAAGACGGAGAGCCCATCGTGAAACCGCCACTCGCCAAGCATTTTTTTGCCTCTCCTCACATGGCCCCCTTGTCTGAGACTCGTTGTCGTTGACATTCATTCATTCACACT